CTTACTCAACAAATAAGTCTTGTCAAAATTAAAGTTGATGAAAAAATTTTTCATGAATTATTTTTTCGTTATTGCTGATGGAACTGTTATAATGAAATTAATATTTGTAAGTATGAATCAGCATACCGTTGCGTTGAAGAAAGATTATTTTTTTATGCATGATTATTAATCTGTATTAGTTCATTCATTATTTGAGCTGAAAATCAATATTTTTAAATATAATTTTTTTTAGATACAGGATACTTAATTTAATACAAAATAAAATATAGAATAATGAAATGGAAAGGAAATTGTTTATTTTCACTCATTTTTATTTCAGCTAACAGAAAATGACCAATAACAAATTTTTTACACATAATTCTTTACCAGCAAATTTTTTTCATGATTTAAGCCTAAATTGAATCTCACACAGTAATCAAGCATATTTGATGAAGAATAGTTTTCATCCTTCTAATTTTAAATGAAACTTTGATCCTCGTTTACTGGTACCACATCTAACTACTGCAACATTTAGATACTCCTTAGTATTTTTTTACTCATTAAACATTTCCACTATTCTTAATCTTTGCTGAAATAAATTTTTAAATAAATTCAATCAAAACTTCTATTAAAATAATTTGTAAACTTTTCCTTTTATTTTCTATTCTTTATAGTTCACAATATTATAAATTAATAAAGATTTCTCCATGAAACAGATAGTTATTTTAATTATTTCAGTTAATTGATTACCATTTCTTATACATGATTAAGCTTCATTTATAATTGTCGGTAATAATTTTGTGTATCGTCATTTTTAAACGAAATTCATTTCGAAATTTACTTACATTGATTATTTTCCTGGAGACGATCAAAGATTAAATGATAGTTTGAGTATTGTTCATAATTTATGCTTGATAAGGCCTTTGATAAAGACATAATTGTTGTCCTAAGATGTGATCTACAAGGTTCAAGTGATTTCGAAAGGGAATTGATGTGGTTTGTGTTTGACATGTCTTAGAGTAAATATGTACAAAATTGTGAAGGCCTTTTTCTAAAACTTTAAATTATTTTCCTTACAGATAGCTTCTCTGATTTGATTTCAAATGAGCTTTTTATAAATCTCTTTATTCACTTTTAAATGGACGCGATCCTTCAACATTATATCAGATTTCTTTTTTGATAAATTATACATAATAATGAAGAACATAACAAAATCTCAAATTTATAATTTTTCTTTTCAACTTTATGCAGATTGAATTTCCTGCAGGTTCAGTTTACTTTTGATTTGTAAAGCGAGAATATACCAAAGCGTCTCTTACTTCATACAATTTTTGGTTCTTAACATGTAAAACTATTTGAATCTTTTAATTAGATATTTCTTTCCATAAACTTTCTAAAGTTTCTAATTTATTAACTTTAGGATAAATTTTACAAAACTCTATTCAACATTCACATTTCTTTCAGAAATTTTCTAAGATTTTAAACTAATTTTTTTGATAGAGCCTTAGAAGGTGAGCTAATATTAAAAACTTTTAGGTGTTAAAAATAAAATTATTTTAATTCATAAAATTTTTCGTAAGTCATAACTAAATATTGATATCAAAAATCATTTAAAGCTTTGAAGAAAACGAGAATTGATCTCATGCAATGTAAGTTCCTTGATATTTAAGTAATCTTGGTCATTTCAACGAAGATTAATTAACGTTTAAGATGTAAGTAAAGCCTTGAATAATTTAGAAAATTCTTCTTTTTCTTTTATAAAAGTTCGTCCTGTGGAACTGTAATCAACTTTAAATATTTTTAAAGTGATTTCCAATAAATATAAACAGCAATAGAATCATGGGGCATTCTAAGTTTTTATCAAATTTATTGGAGGTAAAATCGGATATATATCTACACTTACTTAAATCACAAAGACTTTTCTCTTGTTCGTTTTTAAAAGATTTTAATTTATTCCTTATTAAATGGAATAAAAATGTCTCATTTGTGATTTCACGCCCACACATAATAAGCTTGTTTCTCTATTAACAGCCCCCTAAAGTATCTAAATTTTTATTTCCCTCACCTTGATAAAGGTCTCACTTTTATATTTTTACAAAATTAAAGATACTTAATAATCGTTTTATTATACAAATTTATAAACCTCCATTGTTTAAATTATTGGAAATGTATTCAAAACTTGAAATTGGTTGAAATATCACTGGCATGCTTAAATATTTTCATCAACATAAAAGAGAGCGAAAAATTAAATAAAAAATCATTATCCTCAATATTGGACCACGTTTTGCTTTGATAATTGAGTTGACGAAGTTTTTGTGCTTCTTTTATACATGATGAAAATTAGTAGAAAGGTGATGACGTGACTGTGGTGACTAAATCCACTTGTTGGAACGGATGGAGGATCGTCTACGAGAAGTAACAAAAATTCATGCAATTGCGTGTGTGTGTGTTTGCTTGCTTGTCAGATTGACAAAGGTGAACTTACCTACGTCCCCACATCAAGTTATATCATACAATCGTTCCTTGTAAATGCTGTTGATGTTGAGATTGAGGACCGGATTGGGATGAAGGGTCTGGTGAATTTATTTGTATGGTTGTGTGCATGTCATTTTGTTGATTGAGACCCATCGATGAGCCACCCATTGCTGGGTTTATTCCGCTGCTCATACATGGTACACCAATCGAACATGGTGTCGCTTCTTCTGGTGGTGTCACCTACAAAGTGTAATAAGAAATAATCAAAATAATTCAAAAAAGGAATTCAATGTCTGTCACCTCAAGACCGATGCTTCCGTTGAGTGAGAATTTAATTGGATTCGAGTGATTACTGGCTTGCATCAAAGTTGTAAAATGGCTTATTCCGATTTCTTCAAGTGAAGATTTTCTTCGTCCTGTATTCATTCCTATGTTAGGTAGTCCTTGTCTTAGAGAGCTAGATCTTCTTAGTAAAACGTCATTGTCAATCTAAAAGTAAATTATTTATATTGTTAAAATGAATGAGAAATTCAAAGAAAGTGATAAGAAACGCACTCTCAGTGAGTTGCTACGCCCCCTACACTGGCCACCCTGCTGTGGACTGTCTGGAAGTGAAAGTGAATTTGATTTTGCTTGGTTCACTAATGGTGGTGCACGAGGACTTGGATAACCACTTTGCATTTGTCCACCGCTCATCGAATTCATTCCAATTCCTGATCCACGTCTCGAATTCGATGCACCAGCACTAGCAGCAGCAAGATTAATATTCGAACAGAAGGAAATGTTAGATTTACGTCTCGAGTTGTGTCTCTCGAATGTCTTTTGAGCTGAAAATGGAGAAGGCCTCACAAGATAACTGAAAGGAAATTTTACACAATGAAATGAGACTTCAATGATTGGTAATTATAAACACTTACATAATGTCGCCTTCTTCTAACTTCAAATCGCATGATGGATTAATAATGACATAAGACAAATGATTCCTTTTCTCACTGACTTCATCATAGTCATTACTTGGGAGGTTTAGCGACTCCATTCGACTACGAACAAGATTCCCAATCTCAGCTCGTTCAATTTGCTGAGCGTGATTGTCGCGAGCTTCATCAACCATGTTAATCGAATACTGAAATGTCACGAATAACATGAATAAGAATTTTAATGCTCAATCAAATGACGTTCAATTTTATAAGTCTTCGTTCTGTTATCCTAACAAATAAGCACAGATAAAATGCATCATGGGAATTATGAAGATATTAAAATGATAAAAAAAAACTTTTTGATAGAGAAAAGTTCATGTCTTTTCGTGTTTTCTGTCGATTTAAAAATAGAAAGAAATTCCTTAAAGATTTCCCATTCAAAATGCGAGCTACACTTAAGATAAGCGAAAAGTTTTACAAGCAGTTAGTTGGTCAACTACATAAAATTTCCAATGATAGTTTAATTAACAGCACGTTGTGATAACTCAAATAGACAATTCTAAGATTCATTGTTAGTTGTTTGTAATAAGCAAAAGTTTTTCAAAGCATAGATTAAAAAGAATTAAAGCTTAGTCGCAGTAGATGCAATGATGAAGATTATAGTTTAAAGTTTCCATTCATCTATTATAAAAATTGCCAAATTTCAATTCAATGAGGATGTAATTAAAAAAGTCATTCAGTTGTTGTTCATTTTTTTCTGATAGAATTTTTCTAGACAATCCAATTAAATTTATTCGTATGATAAGAAATTCGATTTTCATGCTAACTGAATTATACAGAAGAAATAAACTTTAGCCCATTGAAAGCTTAAATGGATTGATTCGACTGTCTACAAAGTCAATCAAAACGATGACCGTACTTACCAAACATCAAGAGTGGAAGAAAGTTAAAGACTACTTTTGATATCTTAAAATTCTCTAATAATTTATTTTGGGGAAAGCACTTAAATCTACTTGCGACTTCTTAAGGGTACTTAGATATGTTTAAAGAAAGGTTCACTGAAGCTACTCACTGCTGATCCTCTGCGTTCTGAGCATCTGCCCAAGCATGAAGTAGATTTTCTTATTTGTTGTGGACGATATGTTACAGGCTTTAAACTTGATTCGGCTCCACTTCTTGCCTTTCCACTCGCCGTACATTCCACATCATACTAATTGCATTTTAAGTTTTATTCAATCAAGTCATGCGGTTTAATGAATGAAGCGAATAAGTTGATAAAAAGAAGTTTCTTTTAAATTTTATAAAACTTTTGATTGGCTAAGTTTTAAAACGAATTTTAAAGTCAAACAAATGAGTAAAAAATTGAATTAAATTTAGATAATTTGATGGGTAAAGTGAAGGTTAACTACTTATTAGGAATTGTGCGCTCTCAATCTTAATTAAACTCACTACTGTGCTTGTCACAAAATTCAAAAATTTCTTAATGTAATTTTCTCTAATTTAAGGAAGGAATTTGGCAACAAAAAAATAATTCATATGATTGGATGATGGATGGTCATGCTATGGATGTTTAATTTAGTCACTTTTTTTTTTTCTAAAGTCTAAGTAAATTATACAAACACGTTTACAAAATACTTAGGTTATTTAAATATATTTAGTTAATTACAATGTTTCCTAACTGCTAACAAAAATCTCACAGATATTTAGGAAAAATAAAATGTCTAAAAATTTATTTACACTCAATAAAAAGTTTGACTCACTGTGTGCGTGTGCAACCAAATATCAGTTCGAAAAAAAATAACTAACTTTTCAATCTGACATAGTTTCGAGATGGAAATAGAGGGAAATATTCAGAATTTTGCAAAATTATATTAGAGCTTGAAATGCTTGATAAAAAGTTTACAAGATGAGATCGCAGTTGATTGAACATATTATTATGAATTATAAAAAGCAGTTCATATTTTAAAAATTCTGAGAAAAGAAGACAAGAACAGCATCGCGTATTCAATAAATATGCTAAACGAGATGCTATTCAAAAGGAAGTATTCTAATTTTTGAAATTATTTTATCTATTGATAAAAGGATTAAAGAAGTAAGAAAACTTATCGAAAGTCAAAGAAGCGATCTATAAATTGCTTCAAAGTAAATGAAATATGAAACAAAATGCAAATTCAAAAAAATGAAATTTCTTTATAAGACTTGGTGATATTTTGTTGATGACTTCTAATGACAAATAAGGTAAAAAAAAGAATTGAATGATTGTTTCGTAATTAATGTTTGTGTTTTATGTTTCAAATTGACTAAGCAGACATTCCCTTTCTTAGACGTTGTTGTAAAGTTTAATTTAATTTGCTTCAAGCAATGAAACTTTGTTTTCTTTTTATCTGACTAATATCAATTTAAAAGATTTAAGATGAAGTATCAATAATCATTAGAGAAGTTTTATAAAAATAGCTTTCCCTAAAGTTCAGTTTAATGTTGTGTAAACAACTAATGTAAGTGACAATAATCACAGAAATCTGCTTAAAAAGAACACAAAATGTACCTAATAATAATAAAAATAAATACATCTTTTGTGTTTTTTGATGGCAGTTTAAACTTTGTTTTGTGACTTCGCTCTGCATTAATAAATAATAACAAAAAAAATAAATAAAGCGCTTTTCATGTCGAACATAATTCTTCTTGCGTCTGCTTTGTGGAAGTAAAGTCTGCGTGATTTTTTTTCTTGTTTCTGTAAAGTGTCACAAAATCATTTTTCTTAATAAAAAGAAAAAACCAACTTTTTGAGATGTCATTTAAGAATAAATAAGTATAAGAAGGGCGAGATGGTGGAGAAACGAGAAGTTTAAAGGAGAGTGGATAATTTGACTTTTTTTGTAATATTTTTGGTTTGTTTTTTGTTTTTGGGACTCACCGCTGGTTGCAATCGCACGCAATCTTTATGTTTTCCAAACATTCCACCAAAACTAAATGGCGAATTAAGGGGCGAGTTACTCACATGTGATGCGTCCAAATTCGTTGTTTCTTGTGTGCGATAAATTCCGATGGGAATTTCACATGTCGTTGAGCAAAGTTTTTGGTAAAGTCGTCCATATGTACGAATCCACATGTCGTCCTTTGTGATTTTCATCTTTAATGTTATATAAAAAGCTTGTTAAATTGAAAATTATTTTCATAACTCTATCATAAACATTACCGATGTTAGAAAACCACTTCCAGGTGCTTGATCGATACCTAAAAGCAGTCTCACAAATGTGATAACATAATCTTTAACAAAAGCTTGATATAAAAGTGTGTCAAGCATTGATGCGCTGAACACAGAACCTGCAGCAAACGGCAATCGAAACATGTACGATATATGCGATCCACGTTCCTTTTCACGCTGCAATGATACAAAAGAAGAATCATAGCAACTGAGAGAATAAAAATAAAGTCAATTTACCTTCTCCATCTTGCTCAAGTGAAGAGCATACTTATCATGTGCTCGAAATTGCATGAATCGCATGTTTGAGCTTTGTGACAATTCCGTAATACTTTTAATGGTTGGAAAAAATCTGAAGTATAAAAATGAAAATGTGAAAATATCAGTTTTTGATGCTTTTTATGGTTTGACTTTGAGTATGCTGCTTGTGTTTTCACGTACTTGAACATTGTTTGCACAGCTACAATTGTGTTGCAATCGCCCAGCGTATCTTCTTCAGCTGAATTGGAAATCTCTTTATTGACAACAACAACATTTTCGGCAAGTGTTATTCCAGCTCGTAATAAATCATCGAGACAATCTATCGATCCGAGCATCCAATAAACCTACATTTGTTTGAAAGGCGAGATTAGATCAATCAGTTAGTAGAGTGACTTTGCTATATGTACAGCATAAATAGAAAATGCTGAATTTTCGGTATAATTGGAATCAATTGTTGATTAGAAAGATTGATACATCCTGAAGTTTTCACGAATATTAAACTTAAATGTCATCAATAAATCGATTATAAAAGAGATGCTAACCAGTGGAAAGTACGAAATAGCGTCGAGAAATGCAATGTCTGGTCGTCTCTCAAGCAGCAAAATGATAGGATTCAATGATGTTTTTGATCGAAAATGTGCACGTAATGGTATGATGAAGTTATAAATGCCATTTGAAGCATAATCAGCCGCCAGAATGATTGTTTTATTTTGCCATTGATATTCTTTAGCATTACGGTAACTGCAGTGTTCACAAACCTATTCAAATATTGAATGAAAGCATTGAAATTGTGTCAAAATATTTGATCACGAGTGAGGAGCGTTACCTGAGCTAATTGTAAGCAACACAAAGGCTTTTTCTCCTTAAGTAAATAACAAAGTGTGGGACTAACACCGATGAATGGTGATACAGGTGGAAATCCTTTCACGATCCTATAAAAACATTTTCAATGTCCACTTGTTACTCGAAAAAAAGTCATAAAAATTAAAAATTTATACGCAATTTCTAACACGAACGAAATGCTATTCAATTTTTTTTAATTTCATCTCGTGTTGGAAACTTTGTACTTAGGTTTTAAAAATTAATGTTAACTAAATGGGAAGCGTTGAAACGTTAGCAGGTAAAATGCTATAAATTAGAACTTTTCATTTCTCAAAGCTATTTAAAGTTTGAGAAAGGTGAATAAAGCTGGTAGAAAGAATAAAGAAGAAAGTTGCGTAAAATTTAGTTAGAACAGAACATCCTTCGGAACATTTATTAATTTTTAGCTGAAAAATTCTACCCTAAAGCTTCAAAAAGTTGCTGTTGAAAGCTTTGAATTGTTAGACATGCACAGGTAAAGAAAACTATAACAACTTGCACCAAAAAAAAAAGCTTAAGTCATAAAAGATTTGAAATTAAAAACTCATTCTGGCCTTGATGTCTTATTTGATCTAGAAAGTTTTGAAAGAAAAAAACGAAAAGTGGCTGGTGTGTGTCTCAGAAGTTTTCTGATATTTAATAGTGATGTGTTTTATGTTTGTTTCATCTATAAATTTATAATTTTCATATCCAGTTTGACCAATTTTGAATCGCATAATTCCTGAGCGAAAATATTTTCCCCTTTCACCTTTCTTCTTATAAGCGTCTACATTTGTATCAATAAATAACAAAACATAAAATAAACACTATCGAGAACACAACGATAAACATTTCATCAATGATGTTGATAAGACGATAAAATAAAAAGATTTCAGCTTTATTTTCTCATAAACCTTTCCGATTGATGACATGTTTGTCTCTTGAAACTTAAAACTATTTTTCCGATCTAAAAGCTTGCTTTAAATATCACATCAAATATTTTCTAAATAAGTGAGACCAACGGGATGCATCGAAAAAATCCTCTTTGAAATCCTTTCACGCAAACATAAAATCATAAAAAAATATTTTTTAAAACAATCGTCCATAAAAACAAACAGCGACACCAAACTCTATTTAATCTTCAATTTCTCGGTTAATGTCATCTAATAAAGCCACGACAATGGAATTCATTTTTCATTTTAAACAAATGTTTCGAAAAATGGGGACACTTACCGCAAACATTCGGCATGCCATGCGGGAGTCGAATGACTTGAATCAGAATTACTATCACATGACGAGCTACTATGAATTGAATCTTCGGTTGAACTCATTATGAATTTATAGTTTTGTAATCGAAACATTTCATTACTGTCCATGGTCGATGATGGCTTACGATTACTGGTAAGTATCATCGGATTGTTTGTATGTGGGTTTAAGGAAAACCATCATCGTCAGAATCATATTGTGAGTGTTAAATAAATATTTCATAATAAGAAAGAGAACAACAACATTATAAAAGTTTAAAGGCATCACACGGCGGAAACACATTCATGGGTTCATTGTTTATGACATAAAAAATCAATAATTTGTTTAGAAATAAATTTTCTTTTATTTTGTTATCAATCAAATAAAAAGAAGGAAAGGAAAAGAGAGAAATGAACTAAGGATTATATATCAATGATGATAATATTTTTAGAGGAAAAGAAAGAGTGATAGAAAGGATAAACAATAATAATATTGTTGAATCAATATGTTAAGTCTTTTGTTTGGTTATCTTTTACTGGTATGCTTGTTTATTTACAACCCCTATTAGCTGTGTAAAACCTGTCAGAAGCAGTTGAATTTATCACGCCTTTTTTAAAGCTTATTGATCCTAAATTTGCGTTACAACACGACATGAACACTTATTTGACATTACATAGAAATAACATTGAAGAAGAGGAAATAAAACATAAAAATTATTACCATTTCAAGTGGTTTTGTGTGTTTCGTCATGGATAATAATAACTAACAATTAATGTATTATCATAAGTAGGAAAAACTTATACCATCATCTTTCGGCCAAAATTTGAGTTTTCCTTTGTTTATAAATTATCAGTGATAATGAAAACATAAAGTTCTGTTTCAATAAACATTTGAAGTTAATTAAGAAAAGAAAACTCTCATGAGAAGATTGCGTGCTTTGAAGGAAAATCGGTTTTTGATGTGCAACTTTATAAAAATAATTAGGTGATTAATTAGTTTACTTCATAACTAATCTAATAAGAATTTAGTGAAGAAGTTCGCAATATGATAACTACAAGTGCTGTACATGTTTTGAAAGAAATTCTAAATAATATTAAAATGGTTTACTTCTAAGCAACACACATTTTTGTATTTCTTTTTAAAGAAAAGTCGTCAAGTTTTGCTAAAGAACTTTTCTTGAAAAGAAAACAAATTGAAATACTTTCACACGAATCTAGTTTGCATTTTCAGAATGTCATGAATGCAATCTGTACCCAGAAAGTATCCTGTAGTGCTGATGTGGCGACTTGAAACCACTGAATTAAATTATAATCTCTTCAGCTTGGCTATCAACAGTAAACATAATTTGTGAATTTAAAACCACATTTTATCCTACAACTTCAAATCGTCCTAGACATCATGTATAATACTTAATCACTATTTGTACAAAACAATCAGGGCAACAAATATTTTTTTTGCTGCTAAATTTAAGGGAATAAATATATTTCAATAGTAGAAAAAAACAATGAACGGAAAAAGAAAAGGAAGGAAAATAAAACCCAACAGAAATTTGTAGAACAATAAATTTTACTCACGCAATTTTCTCAGATGGCGACCGCCATGGATCATCAAGTTCGTCTTCACTTTCATCGTTGTTTTCACCCTCGAGTCCATCCTCACCGGAAATGCTGAACGAAGACGACGTAAACATATCGGGAACGGGGAGAATTGATGGCCTTCGGCTTCCTGTAATTTTGGAGACGTAAGCGGAAGAAAAAACAAAGCAATTAAAACGTTAATTAATTTATGAACGTAAATTGAGCAAGTTTTCGCTGTACAACCTCTGCGTTGACTTAGCACATCAGGACTTAGAAGGTTTGGATTATTGTTCTGAGGTATATCAAGATGATTTCCCAAACTCAAACTAGGAGGCCCGAGGGTCGATGTTGTTGTCGTAGTTGCTACACCTGTTGCCTCTTTTAAGTTTGTCTTCGAATCGGTAACGATGAGAGTGTTTGGTGTAGTACCGCCTTCAGTAAATGTTGCTGAAATAATAAATCGATGAAGAAATTTAAGATGAAAACAATTTTCAGAGTATTCTAGAAAATATGATAACTTTGAAGGACTTGTTTCGAATGAAGCGGAATTGGAAACTTTTTTCTATAAAGTTGTTTCTCTTTAAACATTTTATGTCATGAAGATTGATAAATTTAAAATGAAACTGCAAAAAATTAAAGAAGCAGCTGTACAGTTCAACATAAAGGTGATTAAGAGAATAAGATAAAGTTACTAAAACATTTTCCAAAGCTTATTAAAACTCTTAATAGCAGAATTCAATTTACCCAAAGGAGAAAAGTTTAATCTTATCTGACAATCAATTACTGAGATATCTAACAATTATCAAGCAGACAGCAAAAGCTTATTAGTGAATTAAATAATGAAGGATTTCATCTCTCATTCTAACGTTAACATATAATTTCTCTTGTCATCATGTTTAAAGCGATAATGAATGTGAATGACAGTAAATAAATTTTGTGAAGAATCCTACAAATAAATTCAATATTCTCATTTTCATATTTAATCCTGAAACTTTTTTTTCGTCGACATGTTAAATTTAATTGAAAGCAGAAATTTTTCGATAAAGTTTTAATTAGGTAATACCTGGCAGTGAAATGTTTAAATGATTTAAAATTAAATACAATTTTCATAGAATTGTCAAATAAATCCTGTATTTGAATTTCAAACTTGTTGCATAAACTAAAACAATGAACAAAGGCTTAAGGGTGAAAATGATTTCATGCTTTCAAATTTTAAAAATTTATGTGATGAATTAAGTGGAGATTTTAAACGTGCATTAAAACCGAATCAGTGAATGCATTGAAATGGTTTTTCCATACATGGCAAAATGTATTTGATATTCGAGCAAGCATAAAAATTTTATGCTCAATTCGTGACAAGTTGATATGTTTCAATCACTTTATAAAGTGTTATTTTTAAAGGATAAGCAAATATTCGGAAAGGAAATCAAGAAACGTTTGTAAGAAAATTTGTTAGTATAAACGAAGAAAACTCACAGATATTATTGACAGAAAAGAATAATCTTGAATCGAAATAAAAGGTCATAAAAGGTTCAAGGATCTTCCTTCAGAATTGTAGAAAAAGAATTTGTGAGAGTTGCATGTTGACATACAATTCAAATATCGTCTGATTTAAGTGTTGTTGTCAACTTCAAGAAGAATAAGAATAATTTTTATTTCTTAAACATTTCTTTTTATAACCCAATCAAGAGCCATTGACATCGATTGATGACAACTCAACAAAAGTTGTCTTTAAAACACAAAATTTCTTACTCGTTCTATGAATAAATTTAAGGTTGTGAGAAAATTCAAGGAAATTAACATTCGCTAGATGAAAAAAATTAAAAAAATTTGCATATTTATAAGGCATGCTTCAATAAATTAATTTGCAAAAACATTAAACATTCAAAATCCTATCAATAAGTGACAATATTTAATTATTACAAAAAATAAATGAAAGCTTCATAGAGCGGAATAAATTTGAAGAATTATGAATTATTGATGAAGTATTGTTTGTTGAACAAGTGATGAGAGGCGGGTGAACTGTAATTGTTGTTTACTCGAAGCTCTACATTTTGACATAAGCTCAAATATTTTCATAAAGAAAATTTTAATTATTGATTAAAGGAAAAACTTTTTAAAAGAAATCGAATAGAATGAAGGAAAAAAGAAAGCTAAAGAAATTCTTTTCACGCATAAGAGTAATAGCCTTTGACCAGAAGACCCAACATGCAAGCAATGATTAAACTTTTACAAAGTGAGAGATAGAAAAAAAAGTTTCACGGTTCGGAATGTTTTGGGTTTGATGAACTCACGCACGACCAAAGTTGTAAAGTCATTTTGTGTTCTTTCCACAGGAGATCCGGGCACTGAGTTTTCACCGGAATCGAGACTCGGACTGTGAGGCACACGAACACACACAGATGGAACTGGGGCCTGGTTATCGTTGATGTTATTTGATGTTGCAACTACAAATTTTTTATGATGAGTCAACAAAACATTTCTTTTTTCTTGTAAAATAGAAATCATATCTAATCAAAACAATTCAAACGAGACAAGTGAAGCTAAAATAGTCTTTTGTTAAGCATAATTCTCTGTGATATCACATCAATTAATCAAATATTGCTTTCCATTCATGTCGATGTGCTTTTGACACTCACAAATTTTTTGATGTTGTTGCAGGTGACAATCAACATCAGTGAATGGTTTAAGTTGACAATATGTTCTAATAACAAATTTTCTTAAATCATTCACATTCATTCACAAATATCATCAAGATAACATTTAGATTACTTATCCAAAAGTAAATTATCTCTTGACATTATTTATGAGTAAATCAAATTTAATGGGGAAAACAAATAAAAAAACATTAAAGTTCCTTTTCAACATTTTAAAGCAGCGACATCAATAATAAAAAGTAGACGGAAATTTAAAGATCATTTCACGAAAGAGTTTTCGTTTCTTTAATTATTTCCTCATTCATTTCAATTTGAACATTCGAGTGAGTAAAGAACCGTTGCTGGTAAATCTTAACTACAGTGAAAAACCATCAAAACACTTAAAATATTGCTTTCGCTTCGGTTCTCATCTAAGACCGAACGACATAAAAAATGCCATCATAAAAATAGAAAGAAAATAAAGAATAAAAGAAAATCTTTAACAAACATCAAAAGCGCCAAAAGAAAATGAAATTAATTGAATTTTCTCTTATATATTTAAGGAGAACCATCGTCTAGCAAAAGCAAGTAAAATAGAATCTTTTTAAACATAGTGCAGGAAATTTTCCCTTCGTCAAACGAAAATATTGATCTAGGAAAATGAAACATATATTTATGACATTTCCGACATTTTCTTTTCAATCAAGAACTTTTTATCCGACTTATTTTTCATGCTTTTCAAAAAGCAATTTAAGTTTCAGAGCACAAATATAAAACAAAATATCTAATGAAAGTTTTTCCGGAAAATCAAGGTTTAAACTTTTTAACATTTAATTTGTTTACTTTCAGAAGTTTTTTCGATTATGGTCACGCAAATGTTTTCTATTTTTTAACACTAAGCAATATTTATGTCTTATTTTAAAATAAAAAATAAATTAACAAAAGAGAAATAAAAGCTCGCAGCTCTAAATGACTATCAAAGCCTTTTCCTCACCTTCTTTATTTTGACAATCTTGTTGATTATTTTGATTCTGATGAACTACAAAAGCTGAGTTCTCTTCTTTTGTTATACTCATGTAATAGCATGTGTCGTCCTTTTTCATAATGTGTCTTGGTCCCGGATTAAGTAATATCGTGTCTTCATAAAATTCAGGTAATTCAGCAGGTCGTACTCCAACTAATGCAACACCATATCTAAATGAAAGACCACAAAACAACGCGAGTGTTTTATAATTATACTCCAATGTATCACAAAATTGAACTTAAAATGAAATTAAAAAAGTGATAATAACAAAGAGAAAAATGACTTCAAAATTACTTCCGATGTGAATGAAAACTGGCGTAGGTAAAACTTTTTCCTTCATATTCTCCAAAAAATCTGCTATCACCCAGTACAATGTGGTAAATTTCATTTCCGGAACATTTTCCATACAAACGATGCCACTGTAAGGTTTCAAAAAGAGGTAAAATTAGATACTTTCTGATGGAAACGATAAAGTTTTCATTTGATGAAGTTTAACTTCTCTTGTTAAAAGCTCTTCATATATCGTAAATTAAACGAGCGAGAATCAACATTCTATTACCACATGCTGGTTAAGACAGCTTTTATATTTATACTTATCCTGTAGTTAGCATTTAATCAACATCGAAAGCAGAAACAGAGATGGAGAGAAATAAAGAAATTTAATTGGAATCATCAAAGTTTGATTCATGCATTGGGTAAAATTGTGAATGGTACTCACTTCATTGCTGATTTGTCCCTCTTGGCCTCTTGAAGTATGCAGAAGAAGTGTGACGAGAGTTGAAGCACCAGGACATGTGCAATTGTTAGCCAAAAGTGCATACTTAAATTCATCTTCACAAACGACATGTTCAGCAAACTTTACATGAAGCTTATTTTCGGGTCGGAATATTTGGACATATTGTGGAACATTTGGAGCAAAGTCTTTAACTGCCCATGATCTCAAGATTGTGTGTTCATCAGCTGCTGTTTTATCAGCGTAATTACGAGCTGCTAGAATAAAACAAGCTTCTGCTTCTGCCATACGTGCACGTATAAGGTCGCCGTCTTTAAGACAAGAGCCCTGCATTGAATGAATGCTTCTTTTATATTTTTATAGTTTAACTAAAAATAACTTTCACTTACCTGAATATAGATCACGCGTTGTGCCCAGATAGGAACTTGAAGAATCATTCTCATGGTGGTATCAAGTTCCATTGGACTGAGAAGAACAACATAGAAGTCTTGAAGTAAAGGATGAGCATAGAATTCATTCAGAAAATCCATTATTGTATCGGCGTGGAGTGTTGTTGAGCATACAACAACATGCTTCTCGCTTTGAGCACGGTGTGATGAATAACTTCCACCTAATTTCTGACGTTCCATCCAAGTGAATGCCAGTTGTTCAAACTGTGTATAACAAACGATTGAAGAATGAATAAAAAAGAAGCACAGAAATGGAGAACTTCATTTCATAAATTGACTTTAAAATTATGTTGAAGAAATGTCGAGACTCGACGGAGTTAAATTTTACATTGATGCTTATATGAACTCATACATTGAGTGAAATTAAAATTGAATTTCCACTACTTCCGATTTGATTTACCATAACATAATAAATAATATGAAACTTTCACTGTTAATTAAGTTTGAAACTCTTTTATGATAACATCTCATTCATACTTATCCTTCGTTCAACGTTCCGTCATAATGAAAATGCACGATAAACTTTACTTAATATTTTTATGGTGCATTAATGCAATAATAAAATTAGTTAATTGCTTCTGAAGTAGGTTGATATTTGAGAATAATTTATGTGAAAATGTTAAATAAAATTTTCATTTCAGTGAAGTTGAAGCTTTTGTATCATGTTTTGACTTTCCTCTGGCTTTTCACTTCAATGTCTTTCAATCAAGGGTTCATTTATAAATATTCATGCATTCAAAACAATTCACACACGTTTGTTGTGCTGCAGAATTTTATCGAGATAAAAATTCTTCTACATAGACATTTTCTGGCGAGAGGCAATTTCAAATTTTAGGACATAGCGACGAAGGTAGAAAATTCCAATTAAAATCACTGCGTGTTTGTTTAATTATTGAACATGAATCGAGATTCAGTTTGTTTCTTTTTATAATAATTGTAACGTTTTTCAAAGATAAAACAAGAGTTCTATTGAAGTCTCGTAATCTTGACCAATTTACGTCATTTCTCGAAACCACAAATATTTATTGACAGAATGTCGAGAGATTCAAGAAAAGCTATTTTTGTTTTTACGTAACTGATATCATGTGTGGTTAAATAGATTAAAAGTTTAGTGATAAACTAACCTGAGTTGGTAGAACGATGAGAGCGACGCATATCATGATGACCATGTAGAGTTGAGAAGGCCATATATCAGGGACATAGTCACCATATCCTACCGTTGAGAACGTAACCACAACATAATATGTGCTTTGAAAAAGGTTCATATGCCGATGACCCGCTCTCTGTTATCAAACAAATTTGTGGTAATGAAAAAGCATATTAATCAATGATATCCGGAAATTCAAACTTAAAATATTAAACAATAAAACTATTAAACTTCTAATACTTTAATCAAAAGCTTTAGACAAACTCTCATAATCTAAAAGGAAAAGTTTTTGTGTAAGAAAATTTTACCTGAAAATGTTGAATCCCACAAACACTTATGAAAGGTATGAAAAGAAGGAAGGAAAAGAAATTTTTTTTTTTAAGAAATTTTAATCTTATTGATGTTGATGTAAAACTAAATACGGTTTTCAGACAAAAAGATTTTATGCTCTGATTTATCTCATCGACTAGTTTCGGTGGCAAAATGTCACCATCATCAGGATCTTCTACAAATTATATAAAAAATTTAATCACTCTAAACTAAACTCAACATTAATATGATCATACAGAAATGTTTGAGAATTTGTCAATATTATTTATAAAAACTTTAAAAATATTCTGCATGTAGTAAATTCTTGCGCCAATCGCCATTAAGGGTTCAACTTATATTGACGTAAAAATTGAGATTTGATCATTTTTAATCTCACAATCGTCCTTTTCTCTCAAATTCAGGTAAGTATTGGTTGTGTATTAGAAGATCCTGATGATGGTGACATTTTGCCACCGAAACTAGTCGATGAGATAAATCAGAGAATAAAATCTTTTTGTCTGAAAACCGTATTTAGTTTTACATCAACATCAATTTAACAACATCAGACGTATCAAATTAATTTTAATCTTATTGTTATTTAAATTTTAATGTTATTTGTTTGTAATTGAACTGAAAATGTGAATTACCTGGTGAAAACCAAACACAACAATGTCGCAGACAGAATGGTTAATTGCTGTGACAACGCTGATTGTGATTTTTGCATTGCTCTGTGAAGATCGTTCTGGAATTAGGACAAGTGTTCATTAATTTTAATTCATTATAACTTTTACATGAGACTTTTAATGACTTACAAACATGTTCTCAAGCGAGTGCTTGGCAAGCCAACAATTGAGAAACACGGGAATGAAAAGATGCCGTAGGGATGGAAAGAAGATCTGTGGAAGATGGAGAAGAAGAAAGTTGTATAAGGAGATGATATAAATGAGAGAAGACGTGATGAATGGTGACTTACTGTGAATACAAAGGGAACTGTTGTAACAAGCTCGAGAATGAAGTGGAAGGAAAGTATTTGCTGCCATATATTTCCCTGAGAAATCATTCGGTTAATTAATGTCAATCTGATATTGAACTATGTTAAATATATTTGGGAATTTCATTTATTCTCACCTTGTAGCTTAAATATGCGATTAAAAGAGCTTCCGTTAAAGATACCATCGCTAGAAGTAATTGCACAGCCCATAGCTCTGGTGGACGTTTTACCCACAATATCGCATCCCAATTAATAATCGGATTCTCTTGAAACTCTTCTTCACGTAACGTTGCTGAGAAATGAAATTCTGTTTTATTTCCAGGGTGACAACCATAGCTAGTCGAGAGAAAGAAAAATAATCAACAAAGGTTGAGATAAGTAAAATGATACAAAAAATGCCAAAATATTAATTGCTGTTGGGAAAACTCTTGACATCATTTAAAAAGTAATTATCATGAAGCGTTTGTAAATTAGGCTCATTCAAATGATAAACGCCTTCAACAATTTTATTATCATTGTCATTAATTTAACACTAATTGGCTTAAAAAAATAAATTTATTTTCAGATTCCAGGAATGGTTTGAGCATGAAATTAAATGACGTTCATGACACTAATTTTAATATCCTGAAGTCAAACGATTCGTTCCCTTCAATATATTTATATATATACTTAGAAATGTTAGAAGTATTCATAACATATTTATGAGTTTGGAGAAACTTTACACAAGTTCGTTAATTGAGTTATTAAATAAATATCATTTTCTTAGTCAATATATGATTTCATAAAAGTTGAATTACTCAACATACATACCATGCTGAGTCCATTGGATACAAGTCAGTTACAACACGAAATATGTACAGCACACAGGTTATCAATTTGAATAATAAATTAGCGATACGAATTCGTAAGCCTGTTGATAAGGAAAAGAAGTGATGAAAAATCGATAAATTGTGTAATAAATAAATGAATATAGATAAGTTAATTGATGTCACGTTGCTGGCGATGTTTTATTACATTCATCACGGTTGTTCCCATTTATTACAAAGTATTGAAACGTTCTTACTTATTTCATTCATTACAACAGCCAATGATGATTTATGATGACAAAGATCGTTAAATTTCCGTGAAAAACATTAAATATTGAAAATTTTTCGGTTGAAATTGTAAAATCATTTTTTCTCCTTCATAAAATATTTATTTATCTAAAAGCTTCTAAAACCAATAATCAACGTGAGAAATCTTACACTCTGATTTATCTTTTAATAATTTATACATCGGAAGTTAACTTTTGAATTACCCAATTCAATGGTTGAGTAAATATTTTAATAAAAGATTTACGTATCTACAATGAAATTATTAAAAAATTACAACAAAGCTCGAAGTTCAAAAAGTGAAAATAATCCTTGGAAATTCCTCGTTCGTTGAAAGTCAAAAATGTATTTTACAGGATTTATTATGTCCGTCAAAGCTTTCAAGGAATTAGCTTGATATTACTAAACTTTTCCAACACAAAATCACTCGGAAAAGTAATAATCTCTTGCGTTGATTTCGCTTAAATCTAGTTACAAAGTCATGCTAAGTCGAGGGCAAGGTCATAAAGCTATTTGAATAAAAACTTCTCAAATTTATGAAGCCGCTGACTTTATTGATATTTTGATGTTTTGCTACTGCGATGGAGAAGCAACTGTGTTTACTTTATACCCAACTTTATGAAGAAAAGCTTTGATTTACCACAAATTTATATCTTCAACAAAAGCTTCTTGATATTGTGAGAAATTAATTTACAAATGTTCATTTCTAAGCTCCTTTAAATAAGGCTTAGAAATGATAAATTCAATTTTCCTTAAATCCTCGTTCTCCAGTTGTTTTAATGAAGTTAACATAAGTCACTAGCAACAATACTTACTTGATCTTTGATTCTTTATAAAATATAGTTGCAGTCTTTCTTTGAAAGTGTTTTCATTCACGTAATATTCTACCCGTACTCTGTAAATAAGATAAAGAAAAGTTTGTTAAAAACAACTCAAAGTATCAATTAAGCAAGACATGAGTAAATATTCAAGTTGAATTGATGGATAATTTTATTTATGGCTAATGAAAAACTTGCACTTTTAGTTTCCTAACGAAACTTCGTTGATTTCTAAAGATAAAATAATCAGAGTAGGTTTTAATAGAACTTAAACATCAATTTTGTAGTAAGCTACAATAATGTCATCATCATCTGTGATTAGAACACGTTGAAAGATGATTTATCATGAAATATGCTCCGAAAACGTTTCCTATGACATTGTCAACCTAAATAAAAGTATGGTCGTGCTTCAAAACTTACCATCGATACTAAGTAATTTATGACTTTTTCCAAAAGCTTTTTGAAACAATCTTTAACATTTTCATTTCCTTCCCAATCACACTCCACAGCATCAAATCCCTGAACAATCATAAAATTTCCTAACTCCATTTTATATGACACATAATTTCATTCTCAATTTCTTGATTTTATTCCATCGAACTCATCATGATGATGATGATGACGATAACAGAGAAGACTCAAATGACGTAATCATCTTTATAGTCTTTCCCATGTCCGATCTTTTTCGTTACTCTAGAGATTTTTCAAAAATATCCTCAAGCTATAAATAATGAAACCTTTAAATTCTTTCTATAAATATGTACTTTAGTGTTTATGCTTTTATAAGATCTTAAAGTGTTTGTTTAATGCCACAAGTAATTTATTTATCTTTAGATCTTGGAATGTTTTTTTAAGTCATGGTTGCTTTCCTTCATTTAACTTTAACAGCGTTCAATGAGCCGGATTGTTAAACTTTAGAAGGTAATAATCTGTCATGTTAGAAACTGTTTGTCATGGGTTATTAAGCACACATCGAAAAGTTTCCTTCCATTGCTCTTTTGTCGGTAGAAGAGGCAAGTTGGCATGAACCTAAACACGGCATGCTCGAGTGAGCAGACAATTGAGTTAAATCCCTTTCGGGAGCTTATTTACAGTCTGATAATATTAAGTGGATGAAAAATGTATGACGACAATACTGTAAATTAGTTTAATCCACTAGAAAATTATTTAAGCTTTCAAGAAGCATGACACAGTAATTATTTAAACTTTTCTGTCATGTCAGTGAAAGCTCATGTCTTAAGATTTTATTATGCAAATGATTTTAGAATGATTCCACATTCTTCAACTTGTCACATAATATTTTCTAATTGCTGTCTTGTCTCTAATTAAGACGATTTTATTTTATCTCTAAAGAAAGTTTAGAAAGCTTGAGAGAACATAAACGTTAATCTTATGCGGTTGAAGTAACAGACAAAAATTTTCCACCGTTGTGTTTTGTCTAACGACAAGTATTTAAAGACACAAAATAAATCTTTTTTTATACTAAAGCCTTATAAGTGGTTTTGTTGCGAAAAAATCAACCAATCTAATCCTACCGAATCCCTGAAAACATCGAATTGAAGGGAATAAATTGAGTTTAAAATTTAATTTTCCATCACTTTTCTGACTTACGATGTTTGAGTTTCAAAAGCAGTCAGGGAGAAAAGTGTGGCAACAAAAAGCTGTTAACTCACGATTTGATTATTTTTCTTATTCTACTGAATACACCTAACATAAATGTGAGGTAAATAACATTTATTATTGATATTTCATGGGGTGAAATCACATGATTGTATCGCTCAGTAATTTCATACTTTGAAGTTCATCCAAAATTTCAGCTTGTAGATAAGTGGGCAAAGTTTTACAATTTTCCGCAACCCTCCGAGACGTAAACATATTTATATAATTAACTATTTCTCAACATATGTTCACGTGAAGCTTTGTCTCTAAGGCTCATGCACGACTACGTTTAACGATAGTACATAACTGACATGTTTGTTTCCATTTTATCATTCACTTTCGCCTAACTTGAATTATTTATTAGAACAATTCGTTTTTTTCACAACTTTTCCAGTAAATATTTGAGTATATGACTCTAATTTACTTGATAGCGAAAAAATGAAATGAAATATAGAAAAAAATATCATCAGTCGTCACTTCATCACCAATTTCATATTTATTGTCGGAAATATTGATATCAACAATATATGAGCCCTAATGAGAATTCGAGTGAAATTTTTGTTGTTCAAACATTTATTTACCAAGCTGGTAAAATAAATATTCAGATAATTTAACAAATGATTTCATTAGGCAGACTAGAATTATGTAATCAGTAGGAGGGAAGATTGAATGCGAGGAACTTTAAGCTATTAGTAATGAAAATATATCAAGATAAGAAAAAACATCTTCTCTAACCTTGAATCTAGTTCTTGTTTACCTTTAAGACGGATTTTCTTTAAAACTTAATACCAAACATTGTAGTTGTTTGTTAATCGTACAGATCCGAAAGAAAATGGCGTACAAACTCGTGATGGTCGTACTTTCAGTAAAAAAACAAATTAATTAAATTTAGTTTCTCCCTCGGAAGGCGATAAATGATTAAGCCTAATGACAGTTTCAATGCTTTTCACTAAGCCTATGTTAATTAAGCTCGACAAGATTGGGGATTGGTCTGCACACAAACAGTTTTCATTTTTGATGTCGTCAATGTTCAGGTTTGAAAAAATCAAAAAGTTATTCGCTAAAATATTTGTCAGCGAATTTTAAACTAGGATGGATAATGCTTTGACTCGAGATATGCTGTCGATGTGTTTTGACATTTCGCTTTCAATGCACTTTTAAGCTGCTTTTAAGTGAAGGTGTTAGAAAATATTATTTTTGACACACGAAAAAAGACTAAACATTTGAATATCAAATTGGATGTGAAATAAATACTTTTCCTTTACGATTCCTTTAAAGATATCACTTTCCATGGATTCAAAAACATGTGCGCTTAAAGAATTTCAATTACAAATATTTTTTCTATCCTTCGAAAAGGGAAAGCGAATTCTTTTCTAGAAAAATGTTCAATAGTAAGAAAAGATATCAAATATCTAACACAAAAAGCACAAATTATTAAATTAAATTGAATAAAATATTTATTTAAAGTTGCTTCAAGTAAATGTCAGTTAGTTTCCATTTCAAATTGAAGTCTTGAATGCAATAAGCTTGAGATGCTTTCAATATTGAAATTGATGCACTTCTTAACCAGACTTTTTCTTTTACCCCATTGAAAATTAAATTATCATGAAAATGAATATCATCTCGGTAGATGAACTTAACTACCTTGGTATTTTATCATAAGAATCCCATGACGTCAAGCAATTGTAAGATGAATATCGACTAGCGCCAGCCATTCCCTGATCATGAAGCACCAGCAGTGAGAATTGTTTAATTTTCAGAGAAAGCTTTTTAGGACTTTTATTATTTATGCACTTTATCTATTGACACGAACATGAGAATTTTTCACTCATTTTATCTTCTTAACTTTTTCTTGATTAAATTTAAATTGACATGAATCAGATGTAGTAAAAGAAATCGATAACTGAAAAGTTATCAATTCCTTTAAGATTATTAAAATAGAATCACTTTGCTTGAAAATTAAATTAATTTTCATTCTCTATCATAAAGCAACAGTAGACAAAAGTTTTTTTATTGCTTTTCGATTTTACACTAAACGCACAATACGGTATTAAAATTTCACGAAAAAATAAGTTTTCCTTTTAATTGTCATTATTTTTTTTAATTATTCCTTTTTCTATTAAACTAATTTTTTCTTCTGTGAACTCTGAAACACGAATGACAAGAGTATGTCTTGTACGTGTTTATAGATGGGAATGAATAAAAGACGACATTATCCTTTCCATATCTATATTCAAAATAATGATGATGTTGAGAGTATAATTTAGGTAGAAAATGCCAGTGCCGTCGATTTTATCATTCGGTCGACGCGAGAATTACGAGAGAGTGAATTATTTCACGAGAGAGTATTGAAAGCTCTTCGTTTTCTTTTATTATGAGAGCTTTCATGGAAATCTTTCGAGAGTCCATGAATACGTGAATTAAATATCATGTTGTGTGAATATAAAAGCATTTCATTGACTTAGAAGCTTTCCGTGTTGAATGACTGTTAAGTGGTGAACGTTATAGAAATAAGGAAAGCGTGATAAATGCTTCATAATAAAATAATTGTTTGTTCTATTCTTTTCTAGTTCTTCATGAAAGATATCGATGATAGTGAAAAATAGAAGATTTTGTATGATTCAGCAGTATCTGTGAAAATGTAGTCAACTGTAAATTAGTTGTGTTTGTATTTATTTATTAACGTCTCTTGTTTATTGCTTTATTTTATGTATGAATAATTTTTTTTTGTGCAAATGGCAATATGTGTTTTATCATTTCTAGCATGAAATTGATATGACTGGCTATCAGTTAAGTTCATGGTCATCTGATTACATTCCGTGCTGCCTTTGTTCATTGAGAAATTAATTGAGCAGTAAGAATTCGAATGTCTTTAATAATTTTTCCTGATTTCTGATTTTAACACTTTTTCATGGAAAATGATATTGGATTGATGAAAATACTTCACGAAAGAGTTTAAAATCTTAGCAACCACTTAAGAAATCAGTTCTTCTAAACGATATGATCAAAATGCTGTAGGTTGAGATAAGCTTATTAAGGAAAATGTTGAAGATCCCAAACAATCTGTCGGTAACAAAGGATATTCTGTTATTTGGAATGAAAGATAGTAGAAAAGAAATCCCATTGTCAGTTGTTAAGATTGAGGACTACAAGATCTGACAACGTTCAAATACAACATCATTAGCACAAGTTATTTCAAGGTGAACGAGAAGAGCATGAAACAAGAGAGAAAAAAATCGATTATCTCGGTTACAAAACTAAATAATGTTTGAATCAATTAAAAATCCATGAGCCACACGTTCAAAACAACGGTTAACTTCTTTTTCATTCTTCTTCCCTTATATAATAGATTCAGAAGAAATTTCCTTCAGAATCTTAAGTTAGGTAAACAAACACAAATTATTCATTGGAAGGTATGCGACGCAAAAAAATTGTATTACATAAAAATTGAGTTATTTATGCATGCAGGAAAGCGCGATTTATTGATTTCATCTCATGAAAGTACAAAAAATGTAAATTGAATACCTTGTATACATACCTACTTATATACGTTTGTATAAAACAGATTTCAAGACAAAAATTATGTAAAAATTCTATGAAAAAGCTATAACATTTCAAGATGTCAAAGATTAAAAGACATAAGAAGTAAATGTATCAGAAGTGGCAGCATTTGGCGTATATCGCCAACATAAATTTTTAATTTTGTTTATTTTTATTACACACAAAATTTAATCAAATCAATTTTTGTATAGGAAAATCAAGCAAATAATGAATTCAGGATTTTGATGTTGCTTTTAAAAATTTAAGCGAAGGTTGAATAAAAATAACAGATTCGTTATAATGAAATCTGATATCAGAATAAATAAGTGGTAGGCTTCAAACAGAAAAAGAGAAGTTAAACATTTTCCATGGAGGAAACTTCCGTTTTTCGCGAATCAGATAAAATATGACAGAAGAGACATGATGTCAGTTGTATTTAGTAAGAGTTTCTAAATTTTGAAATAATTTTTCTTATCCGGAACATTCAACGAGGGAATACTAAAAATAATGTGTAAGTTTGAATGTCGTAAGATGTAAATGTTTCAATAAGATGAACTTCATGATCTTAAATATTAAAGTTAAAGAAAAAAGCATTTATGAGATAAATATGACATATTCCAGTTATATAAACACTTTGAAAACGGCAAAGTGTCAAGAATATATAAATACAAGCCATGTTATGAGAAAATTGATTAATGAAATTTGAAGCTGTTGTTAAGCTAACATAATATCTGAAAGCTTTCGCTTGCTTTAGTTTCTTTTTTGCTAATTAAAATCTCTTCCGCTTTTAAAGCTTTGGCATATGAAAGCTATTCATGTAGTCTGAGCAATACTTTTAATGAGTTTACTTTTTGTAAACTTTTTTTTATAACGCACAGAACTTTTTTTCATACGCCGTGCCCGACATTACAGCGAAGCATTGAAGTGTCGTCATGTAATATTAGCAGTAAGCACACAATGTATCATATTCAGTGTCAAGATTACATTCATTCTCTTCGTTACATACTTACATTATTTGAAGAAATTAATTAAATTCATTTCAGTGATAACATATTTTATCCAAGTTAATTTTACTTTGAAAATAAGCGATGTCGTTTTATTTTTTGACTTATGAATGTTCATAAGCTCGCATGTGCTTTTCATAGCGTCGTAGAAAAGAAGGCGCAAATTTATAATAAACGTGAGGAGTGACTCAGGCAGTGACTTGTATATTTTATAGGGTATATTATCACTAAAATAACGTTTTAAATGTGATGCTTTTTTCTGATTGTAATGATTTTAAAATTTAAAGCTTTTAATATATTTGTACAGAGACCGACTTCATTCAACTGTCTCTCAGACGAATTTAATATAAAATTCACATAAATATTACATTATTTTCTTTTTCAAGAGATCATGGAGTTTTATTTCCTTTTTTTATATAGCATTGATATAGGATATTCGTCTTGTAAGGTCTCCACTTTTGTGCTGACATAGGATCGCTTTAAATACGCAAAAAGGCGGAAAAATACTTCGAGCGTCATAAAATTCATTCTGTTGTATCCAGTGAAATATTTATGTTAGCTAATGATCCTTTCAAGGATGTTATTTAGCAGTTTAAAGATGAAATCATTCAATCAAATCAAACCTTGGTATTTGCAGGGCAATTTCATCCAAACTATCGCTCGGATTCATCGGAGTCTTTTCAAACAGTCTCGATGGAGCCGTTAGATGGCTTAAATCTGCACGACTGACCCGTCGAAACACTTTTGCACCACGTCGTTGACGCAATTCAATCTTTTTCTTCTTCTTGTTTGCTTCTTCACGTTGCAAATTATGTAGACGAAAGAAGAACATCGACATTCTGTAATTGATAGCAAGTAATGAATGTGAAGTAAAAAAATTTAATTGTGAGTGAGACTGAGTTATTTATTACGCAATTGTGCACAATCAAGGTTGTAAAAATCACGATAAATGCGAAATAAATTGCAAGCACATTGTGAGTCACAAGTTATAAATTGATGAAGTTGACAAAAAAAAAAGAAGCATCAGGGTCTGCTTGTTAATAAAAATAAAAAGTCAAACATGATCTATGTTCATATTTATGTCATTCGATATATTACTGAATGAAAATATAATTTTTGCAAACTTAATTTGAAGAAATCTGAGTAATTATGTATGATGGTAATTAAAGTTGATGTTTGAGTAAAGCAGAGAAGTTCCATTTATTTGCTAGAAGCAGATAAATTATTCAAATGATATTTTATTAAATTAACTCAACATCCAATACATTTCAAGCATTAAAATAGTAAGAATAAATTTGGTAATTCTTAAAAGAGAAAAACAAATCTCTGAAGATGCAATGAAAATTGCGATTTTTAGGTTTTAATTTTTAATTCAAAATCTATTTTGAAAAATTCACAATATTGACAATTGGAAAGTAAATTTTGTTTGATTGATTGAATTATTCAAATAAAAGATTGCTGTTTGATGCATCTGAATCTGAGATGAACTCAATTAAATGGATGTGCAACGTTTAGCCAATAAATCAATGACTGTTTGAATTTATCAAAAATTCATTGGAAATTTGATGACTGAAATTTTGCTTCGAGTCATATGGATGAGTAATGGATAAAATCTGGTAAGCGTCGCATATATGACAGAAATTGAATCCATTTTATAAATTCGTCCATTTGATAGATCAACTTTTATTATGAGATTTTAGAAAAATTGAAACTCTTTCATTGAAAATATCATTTTGCAAATAGAGTAGCATAGAAACTGCTTTTAAAACAAAGAAAGTTTTGTTTGAGCTTCTCTCAATTTCGAGTATCATTTTCAAAGCAAATTATAAAAGGTTGCAGTGAAAAAAAATGTACTTTGAAAATATGAACTTCAATCACAAGGTGAATTGGCGTTTCTGATTCATTTTCGAAGCATTATATGATACTTTACAACAATGATGAAGAGATGAACAAAATAAAATAGAATAAAGAATATGGCGAACTTCAAAGCACATTCCTGAATCAAGCAATTGTCATGGAAACATCTCAAGTGGTGAAATGAACCTTGATAAACAAAGAATAAACTTACAATTTATTCAAATAATTACATAAAATCCATCACTTGACGAGTTACAATATTACATTTTATGGCCCTGTGAGAAAACAAATATCTAAATAAATATTTTTAATTAAAGGGTTTCCAATTTCTACATTCAGAATCAGTGAGAAAATCATGCTGAATATCTTAAAAATTGCTAATTTCATTATGTGTAAATGAAAACATTAATTAAAATGTAAAAGTAAACAAAACCCAAACACAAGCTTTCTAAACAAGAAGATGACAGGCACCTAATCTTTGAATAAAGTAAAGTAACATTCACTAACGAAATAAACAGTCGACTTAATCACTGATTTAATTGAAATTCAACAGAAACTAAGATCACAACGATTGAACATTCAAAGTCAAAAATAGAAACATTTACCTGAACACTTTTTGTAACAGTTTACAATTATCTTAAGGAAATGTGAAGAAATATTTAATTATTTTTTTAAAAACTTTGAGATCAGTCGAATTGAATGATTATTCATAAATTGATATGGCTTCCTATAAGTTAGTTTAAGCAAATTTTATTCACTTTATGACGGTTTGTATTTATTTGTAGCACTTTGGAATTTAAACTCTGAACTTTTACTTCTTTTCAATAAATATTAACTTGTTGAATGTTGCAAACGTCTTCAGGGAAATGTCGCACAATTGTTGTAAGAGTCGTTGTACAAAAATAGAAGTTTATTTTGTTTTGTATTAAAGCTCTCTCTTCTTGGTCACTGGTTTCGTTTTTTTCGAGGCGGAAAATTTGTATGATTGTTCAATCGCCTTCAGCAACTTTGCGATGTTTAATCTTTCTGTTATGTTATTTCGCTGAAATTATTTTTCTTCCATTATCGACTTTTGTGCTTAATGGCGCACCTTGTGTTTTTCTTTTTTCTCTTCCTATCACCTTAGTCATTTGGAAAATTGAAATTCAATTTCGAATTCAGCAAAAAGATAACAAAACAATTGTGAATTTGGAGACTCTAGAAAAAGTTATTTTCCCGTAAATGTCGGAATTCAGTAGAAAAACAAAAACACCTTGTACTTGTTACCAAAGAAAAGAGGAAAAGCTCATTAAATGAACAATAAAAGGTCCCCTGATTATACAGAACACTCCTAATAACACTTAAACTCAACGACCGACATCTTTGAAGAAGAAGAAGTTTGACAAACAAGACGACGAAAAAAAGTAGTAAAAAACGGATATCTTGAAGCGCAATTACTCGATACATTTTATTATTAGACATGTATGAGTTCATAAGTTAAGAAAATTTGCCATGCTCAGGGTTGAGAAATGTGTTCGAAATCACAACTTACAGTTCCTAACTCTGGACTGCTTCAAATCCCTGATAATAATTCATTATACGCTTCGTGATTTATCTCATTCTCTTGTCCATCAAGGCAATTATGAAGATTTCTCATAACTACTTTATTGACGATTCATTCATTGAATAGAAAACGTGATTTATTCAGAATAATGTAGGGCAGAAATGGATTATTTGTGCCCTTCATAATTCTGAATAAAACACGTTATGATGCATTTAATTCGCTTTGTGAATTAAAATTAAATCTTCTATAAATTTCTGTTTGTACAAGTCTCATAAAATTTGTGATGCTTCTAAAATTATATTTGCCCTTCTCATGTATGAAATTTATTCCGATTTCATCTTCAATGTGAAAAGGATGAAAAGAGAAGATTCAATCAGCAATATGATAATTGATGAACCCTCGGAAAAAAAATCTCATTTAAATAAGATATTTATACTTAGAAAGTATCTTCACAATTTGTTGAAGGGTAGAATTTTATTTAAGGTTTCGTTTAGCAAAGTTTCAGTGTAAAATTCCAACTGATTGGAGTGATATCTGAATGTAATTGATTGTTGCTTGAATTAGAAAGTCCGTAGGTGTAATTTATCAATAAAGCTTTTGTGTGAACTCAAAGAATTTCATCGTTAAATAAAAGGTTGCGTGACGCCGCCACAAAATGTCTACCTTTCTGTTTACCTCTGTTGATTTGAGATTTTCATGTTTCTTATGTCTTCCTTAATTTATTCATGATGGAACTCATAATTTCAAATTGAATTCCGTGTATGGCAGAAGTTGATGCTATGCTTTCTGAAGTAGTGCGTAAATTTGTTATGTTCGCTTTATTACATTTGTTATCCTAGGTAGCTTTATTCGTTTCGAAGAAATGACAATGTGAAATAAATTTTAGTGAAATATTTATGTTCACCTTCACGGCTTTTCTGATATATCTCCCTACACAAGCTTCAACTTGATGTCTGTATCTGTGTTTGAAATGTTAATAGATTTTCTATTGTTGGATAGATTTCGATTCCGAGGCTTCTTTGATTAGCTTTGTTAAGTTTTCTTGACGAAAACAGATATTCATGTTAGGGGCTCAGTTCAATTAATATACATTGAGGGCGCAACATAATTGGCGAAGTAATACAAGATGAATGCTTAATATATTTGTTTTTATTCCCTTACATGTCAAAAATATAACCAGCATTATGAATAATGCTTGAAATTGTGCTGTGCGAACAATCACTGCTCTTCAAAGGTAAATACCATTTTCCCTTTGGAAATCTTTCAGTATGGGAATAGTAACAAAGCAACTAGAAAAGAATCTAATTAAGTTTGCCTTAAATTTTTTTTCAGCAAGTATATTTAATAAGTTTTTTCTTTCTGCTAAGTCCCTTCAAATTCATTTTGTAAAGATTACTTATGATCTCAATTCTATGAAAATTATATTTGAACATGAGCTTTGGGAGCAAGCATAATAAATACTTAAAAGTTTTTGAGTGCTGGAGCGAGAAAATATTTCAAGAGGCTTCTGACGTGCTACATTTTTTTTATAAAAATTTATTTACCTCTCTGAATCTTACTTTCCATTAAGTTTATTCTCAGACAAAATCAGGAGGAAAGGAAATAAATCACTGTCGACCTTGTCGTTCCCACCACGACAAGCGGGCATAAAAATTAGATTATTGGCATTGGCAGCAGTCTACAACTCAATTTGTTTTATTCTAACCACATTTTAAAGAAAAATAACGAGTTTTAAATTGATAGTAAATATTTAATTTATGGTTGCTATCAGACGTCCTTTGAGAAGCTTTTCGTCAAAAATTTCAAATAACTTTCATTGAAATAAGGGAGCAGTTAAAGCTTTAATCACTTGTTACCGATCTAATCAACGTTCTAATCTTGGTTCTAATTATCTCGATGCTGCATTGTTATTAATCCCGTCTATAAAACTTATTCATTGTTCTCATATTTTTAATCATTAAATTCAATATTTTTAGGTCCCATTATTAACTACCATGACTCAGAGAAATAAAGTTTATGTTATTTAATCCTTGATATTCAGCACAAAAGCTATTACTTTTTACCTTTTAAACTCCCCGTGCCACTCTCCTTTTGCTTATTATGTATAATCGTGCGCAAAGCGACATTAAGACTTTTTGACCCATATCATTGTGAACTCATCGATCGTTTAAATGTCAATGAGAGTTATAATCATCCATTATTTCGTGTTTCGTCATTAAATTCACAAACATCCGCTCTACATTTAGTAAAAATACTTAGCATATCTATACGTCATATTACCATTGAGATAATCATATATCTTCATAACTTTTAATTTAATAACATTTATCGTGGCATGAATAAAAATAAATATCTTCTATGTTGGATTTTCAATAATATAGTGAAATACATTATCAAGCAAGTTAAAATATCCCGCTCAATTCTTTTTCGGTTTGTTTACACTTTTTAAAATGGTTTTTTGAAGCTAGGAAAGATTCAAGGTGAACTAATTTAAGTGAATAATTAATTTACTTTCTTTTTAAATAAAAGTAGATATTTCGAGGTAAAGAAAGAGTTTATAAGCATTGGATGGCCAGATGTTTTTCACAAAATATTGTTATCTAAATGTATTAGAACTTCTAAATGTGCGATGAACATGTGAGATTCTCACAGTGTTCGACGTTGAGTGTTCACAAACATCTGAAAGTTAATAATAATCAACCATATGTAGGTGAAAAGCGTTTTCTCTTCATACGAATTTTCTTCTATTCCATCGTTCATATGATAAATTATTTCGACTAAAATGTGCGGATCGATAATGGACTGGTTTTGAATTAATCATGAAGACCTTAACTTTCCAGGGATGTTAATAAATGATTTGCCTCCATTCAAATGTTAATTCTTTTTTTATTGCTTACAATGCCACGATGCCTCTCTTGGGTAGCAATTACAAAATTCAACATTTAGATCAGATGATAAAAAGGTAATTAACATTTGAAAACTTTCACAATATCCTAATAGTATCTATCCGGCTCCTTTGAAATATTTTGTCATCAAATCTACAAGTTTTAAAAGTCTCAGAACTTCAAAACTTTTCAATCATTTTTACCCTTCGCTTTTTTTTTTCTTTGAAAAGCTTTTTAAACTTTTGCTTACTTTATCAACTTGGGCATTCATGAGACGATCCCAGTAGATGTTAGTATGAAAGTTCCATACTTACACATACACCAATGATAATCCAATAATTTTATTTAATTTCATTATGTGACATCTACAAAAACAACAGTTCAAGAACAATGTCTCGAAGTCTCTCATGTAAACATTGCGAAAGATTGCAAATTAAATTATGTAAGAGTCATGTAAATTGCCTTTTGTCTTGAAAATGTTAAACTCGTTTGTCAAAGCTTAAAAAGCCTTTAAAAGAACTTATAGCAATTTTTATTATTGAGATAAATGTCAGTTCATAACAATAAGTTCTTTATTCAATCAATCACATTAAGAAAATATAAATCATGCTGGGAGAAAAAATATTAACAACTTGACTTGTGGCACTCCACGATGTTTTTTTTATCCCACTGTATAGATATCTAATATCTTTGTGAATAAATTACAGTTTTGCAAGGAGTAATTAAGGAACATTAAAGCTAATTTCACTTTCCTCTTGTTTCAATTTTCAACAATGACACCTAATTACTCTCCATTTAATTACATAGTTATAGTCGTAAGTAACAGTCGAGCTTCAGATTGCATATCGCTCTAATTCAAATTCATTGTCAAAGAAAGATGCTTTTGTTTTTCGTTTTATCATTGAATTAAAAAGAGAAGTTTATGAAAAGTTCATTATCGTCAAAGTATTTCCATTTGTCAACGAACTGTGACTAAGGTGAAAGGTTAGTGAAAAGAAAACAATTTGTAAATTTTAATTCATTTAAACCTGTTGTTGAGGTTGAAGTTGCGTTTTAATGATTAATGGAATTTGTTTATCCAGTAAAAGAAAACGACATCGGATTAATCCATTAGTAAGTAAACTTTGAATCACTGTTAATTATATTAAAACCTGTTCTTTATTATTATTTTTATTATCTGTGATTCACTTTTTTAACTCAAGATTCGTGTAGATTTTTTCTATCAAAAATAGATTGAACAACTTTCAAAAAGCACTAGAAAAAGATATGATCGAGCAATTTGATATTAAAGACGTCACGTTCAAACTGATGTTTCAACTTTGACGGCAAAAATAAAACTAAAACGTTTCAACATCAGTACAAGTATTAATTTGCTGCTAAAGGATTTGTAGAAAGAAAGTCTTCGTTGCGATTGTGCAATTTGAGCGCGTCGCGCCGATTGAGATCGACGAAGTTTTTTAACTTCTCTTCGACTCTCGTCGTCGACTATTTTGATAACTAAAGTGAAAAAAAAAACAAAATCATTCTCAAAAGAAAAATTTCTCTTACTTATCACTGATTTTCCCAAATTTTCATCGTACGTCGAACGAAAAAGAGAATCGAGAAAAAACCGAAAAATGTCGAAAGCTCTCAAATGAGATTAAAAGCTCTCTCATCTCTCTCTTTCTCTCTCTGGAATTAAAGAGCTTTTGAACTTTTTCTCAAGCTTTTTCTCTAACAAATATCTTCTCTCTAACTCAAATATAATTTATCATTTCCAATGTTTTGTTCTTGAAAAATTAAGTGGTGAAATTAATTATTAATTATAAATAAAGATGCAAACAAACCACGTACAACACTCTAAATCATTTGTTATCATTGTCAATATTTACTAACATATAATGGTAAAGATTATAGATTGATACCTTGATTTATTCAAATGAAATTTTACGAACTGTTTAATGACAAAAAGCGTTTGGGAATAATTACCATATCTATTGATCAAATTGAAGCCTTCGGTGAGAAACTTAATCAATTTTATATGAAAAGTTTGTTCAAATCTGTCATAACGACAAAAATACTACTTACAAAATGTGAAATTATTAGCATTGCGAAACTTCCCACGATTTGACAATGAAATTCTTAACCATTGATTGAAGGCTAATATTTCTTCTCCTTTACTTTGCATTAAATTTTTTATCCTTTCTGAATGTTTATTTTTACAAAATCCGTTTTCCTTAAAGTTAAGAAATTCAACTTTTCGCAAAGGATAATTAAATCACGATTCGATTTATTCGTTTTTTTTACCGGCTGTGGTATTTCTCTAGAGAGCATCAATCAATTGACATTTCGACATAGTTCCGACTCCGAAAACGCAAAAAATTGAATTTGTTTTATTTCTTGCGGAAGATCCTTACAATCTTCGTTTATGATGAATGTGATAAACATTTCCATCATTTGCTGAATTGTTCATAGAATGTATAAATTCTTAATTTTGCATTTATTTCGTTGAACTCATTGTTTGCTCAACCTTGAAAACTTTTTCTATTCATATCATGAAAACGAGCAACTTTGACACCCCAACATAACAATAATCAGATATAAAAACTATGCTTTTCATCATAAAAACGGGGTCATAAGAAAAGTGGAAACAATTTCATTGTAAATGGTTGAAGACACGATTTTCGAATGACAAGAAGAAAAACTTCGTCATTATTCATTCATATCTTACTAAAACTTCAAACATCTTTCAAAGATTTAATTTTCGACAATTTTCCTTTAGCATGGCCTTGAAATATAAATTCAGTCTTAATTTGATACAAACAGATAAGAGCTTCTACGTCAGTGCTCTCATCTTTCACAAATTTCTTATCAAAAGCAGGGCTTTACGCACCACTCAGCATGATGAGCAGCATGCTATGAATTAACGTTAATTGGAAATACCACCAGCTAACAATTTTCAAAGTTACGACTTCATTGAATTGAAGAAACAAAGAAAGTTATGAAAAAAGATAGAAAACAGAACAAACAATATTTATTGTGTTAATGGCTTTTGTCAGAATTTTCATTGTTCTTCAATTAAAATATCTTTAATGTCAATGAAACACGTTACCAGACATATCTACATTCAGACTTGTCTGCCTTTTTTTCCATTAAGAAATTTTCTAATCCCCATCACTTTAGAAATAAATTATGAATGATTTATGAAGCGAATTATATGACTTTTTTATGTGTCATAATAGTAGTAAGTTTAAGTATGTCTATCAATTCAATTTGTTTCCAATGTTTGTTTAGAAACAAACTTCAAAAAGAATTTGAAAATAATGTAAAATGATTGTTTGCAACCTTCAAAAGAGAATCAATTTTCGCAACATTTGGTTAATAATTGTTACAACATTCCGGACCATAAAATTGATGATTTTCTTTTTTTACATTCAGCTTCATTAAACAAAGCATCCAATTATAAATGAAGCACAAGTTTTATTCCTTTCTTTGCAAAGTGAAATGTTTGCCCTTCAAAAATCGCAAAAGCCTTAAATGGATGTTTCTAAGGAAAGCTTGAAATCGTGATAAAGTTAAGGTTCACACAAATATTGACATCGTGTTTCTACTAGAAATTGTTGTCATCATTTCTTCGACAACTAGTGAACATTTTGAATGCATCAGTGTCATGAAGCTGCACATGGAGTTGTTCCTGTTTCAAGCACATGATAACAATTTGCTAAAAAATAACGAAATTTGAAATTATAGACTTTGGTTTAATTTCTCTTAGACTAACAGTTTGGACTTCTCCCAAACTTATAAAAGTAAGAGCAGAACAAAGGAAAATGGCCTTCATTCTGATTCAGTTAAAATTTTCTCATCCTTGCTGTCAAATTCATTTACTTTTTATACATTCTGAGCTTTTAACGATCTTCACAGAAAAGCTTTTAAAAACGGCACGAATAAGCATGAGAATCGTATTAACCTCTAATGAGTGTAAATTTTTCAGTATGTAGAGAATATAAAATTTAAAGATTACTTGAAGGCATTTCGTTAGGGAAATTTCAAATGTTCAAGGTTTTGGATGAGAATATGAAAAATTAATGGAAAAACATTTCGTTCTTTTAAACTTTCTACACCCCATCATTTTTGTTATAATTGTGACTGATTTATGAAACGATTTATGTGACTTTTTTATGTATAATAATAGTGGTTTAAGTATGTCGTATACCAAATTTAATTATTTGTTTTCAGTATCCGTCCACAAACTAGCTTTAGCATGGAAGTTTTGATATATTTGCTATCATTAACTGGATAATTAATTCGAGTGAAAATAAATGTTTTAGTATGTCAAATTGAGTCATAAAAAATTGTTATTGCTGGACGGAATAATGAATGACAAAAAAGTGTGTAGTTTGTAAAAAAGTCTCTGAATGATCTTCATTCTTTAAAATGTATTCCTAGATTGAATAATTAAAAAGCAAAAACCCTTTTTCAGAATGACGAGTGTTTATGTAAAAGAAAGCTCTCTTCAAATTTCTTAACCGAACCTTGAACTTTGGGTTTTATACTTTCGAAATATTCCTCAGCTTTTATTTTTCAAAAAAAAACTCTCAACCTCAATTTTTTATATCACGAATCAATAAAACTGATAAAATATTCAGTTACAACTCTCAGCATTTAGCATTTTGGGTCTCGAAAAAATTGTATTCAAATTTTCTTTTTTTCTCTGATCTTATGACGATTCGTATTTCGTTCAATTTTATGTTTTTCTACTTTTCAGCACACTTTACCGGAATGCTTCTTTGAATACGAATGTCTGAGATGATGAGAATTTAAGAATTGTATTACGATAGTTTCGTTTTCATCATTTCATTTCATTTAGAATATTAGAAGAAGTTTATACGCAATGCTTCATGAAAAGAAATGAGTTCTTAGGATTCAAGTTCGTGACATATTTTTAAAATTAAATTAAAAATGCAAAACGAGTTGAGCATCAACTTTAAAACGCTCCTATTGAATATTAAAAATCGTTCAATTATAACTTATAAATTGCAGATTTCATGAAGAAATTAATTGATAATAAAGAGTTCAAGTTTGATTAGAATCGAAAGATATCATTGAACATTTAATTAAATTTCATGAAAAATAAATAAATCCAGCATAAAATTCAAATATGGAATAAATGAATGTTAATTATTTAAAGGAAAAACATTTCTAGTCAACTCTTCATAAAGATATAAAAAATAATTATAATGGATTTAATCAATCACACAACCAAGTACTTTCCAAACAGAAACTTTAAGCTCATTTACTGTGCAAATCTCAACTTCAGAAGTTGTAATTAATTTATCAAGCAAAGTTTCTTTTTAATGAAAAAAATGAACGTTTTAAGAAAATTCAATTTATTTTTGGTTTTTTTAAGTTCAGTGAAACTTTTTACATCTGCAGGTTTCTTCGATGTTAGTGAAAATCAAATAATCCCACGATACATAAGTTTTTTGATAAACGAGAACAACAAAAAGGATCAAACACAAAACCATAACGTTGCCATTATCAGAATTGAATATAACCCAGTAACGGACATTTTTGGGAGAGTTGCAGCTGAAATTTTAAAGGAAAATGTTTTCAATTCGGTTGTCATTTACGATTACATGATCACAAAGCAGAGAATTTATAAAAAGATTATCTCAAGGGCTTCATTCATCATTATCGTAAGTGATTTGTGGAACCGTGTAAGTATCGAATTAGGGTGATGAAATTCATGAATTTAAAAGGATTTTTTTATACTTAAAAATAGTCGTTTTTGATTCAAACACTCTCGAATATATTCATCAATAATCCTTGGAAGGATTCAACTAAATTCATTTTCGTTTACTCTCATGATAATCGTCTTACACCAGAGGCAATGTATGAGATATTCTTCGTTTTCGAATGGCTTGGTGTTTTAAATCTTATAATTACCAGTGAGCAACTTATTTATGGCAAGAAAATTCGAGTTTATGGATCTAACGAGTTTCAAAACAGAGTTGTATTCATGATACGAAATCCTTCAAATATCGATTCAGTTTTTCGCGATAAACTAAAAAACCTTCGTGATTATGAATTCAAGATATTCTTAACTGATGATGATGTCAGAATTGCGGTCAATGATAAAACGAGACCGATCGAGGGCATCGATGTTTCGATAATGAAAATCATAGCAGAGAAGCATAACGGCAGAATAATGTTCGAAACATTATTATACAGTAGCGATGCAAATTTTCCAAACAAGTTTGTTGATTTGCTAACGGGAAGAAAAAGTGACATGACGCTCTCAACAAATTATTACATGCAAAAAGTTCTCAAGTACATTAACACTTTTGATGAGAATGGATATTGTGCTTTGGTTCCCATTCCTCCGCGACTCACATTCATTGATTATATCTTAACTCATTTTGATAACTATTCTTGGGGATTTATGTGTTTATCGATCATTGTTTGCAGTGTTTTTTGGAGATTTTTGACGAGACAAACTTTCCCAAGCAACTCTTTGTTTTACTTTATTTTTGGCGTTGTTGCAAACTTTGTGGGTCAATCGATTCCTTTTAGAAAATCTCGAAGAATTCAAGTTATTTTACTTCAATTGTGCATTTTAATGACGTTTATTTTGGGAAATGCTTATCAATCTCTTATTATTGGATCAATGTTAACTTCACGTGATGGCGTGAGAATGAAAACCTTCGATGAACTATTTAACAGCAACATGTCATTTAAAGTTGATGGAATGTTTTATAATAAAATGAGCTTTTCTGAGGATTATCCTTCAGCTGTTAGTCGAATGCAAGTGGTTAATTCAGCACCAAAAGACATTGAAAAAAGTGCAAGGGAGAACATTGTACTCATTGGTGGATGTGAACTTATCAATCAGTTGATGTTCTTTCATGCTAACGCCTCTGTTATACTTCATTATTATTATTTACTGCCTGAAAAAATAATGAAATTTTATGAGAGATTTCCAATAAACAATCAAAGTCCTTTCTTTGACTTCATACAATCTAATTATCTTTACATTTTTGAGTCGGGGATTCAACAACCTCTGAAATATTTCTTTAGTTTAATTGCTGGAAACAAAGGTGAAAAAATTGTTGAACAACAGAATCAGTTTATATCAAATGAAAGTTATTTGTTGAAATGGAATGATATTTATGCAATTTTCTATATTTTGATAGTTGGAAATATCATAAGTTTTGTAACTTTTATATTTGAGATGATCTTTCGTTATTACAAAAAATGTTTTAAATGTTTAAAATGTTCAAAATGTTTTAAATGCTTTAAATGTATTCGTTAATTTGCATAAAGAAAATCAATGCATCTTATGAAAATTTAATAAATTTGTCTAAGTGTTTAATGCAGTTGTAATCAATGTTTGTGAATTTTTAATAAAAATTAAGAATTATTGCACGTTTGGCTGCTTCAAATTCAAAGTCTTGAAATAAATATTCTTGAAGATACTTTTTCAGAATTTTTTTTAATAAAAATCGCATTTAAATAGATTATCAGTTTCATGGACATAATAAAACAAAATGACAAGCGATCACGTCTCTCACTAGAGTTAAAATGAATTTATATGCGCTACATTAATAGAGAACAATTTATTTATTTTTAGCTTACTTATTCATCCAAGATTCAGACGATAACAACGAAACAGACGTGAAAAAATTTGCTCTTAAAAATTATTATCGCTGTTTACTAAATTAAGTTTTTCTTCCACATAAAAATATCTTCATAAATTCATAATCAAATAAAAAATCCCTTTCCGCAGAATATTTAGCATTTCACATGCTTTCATCTACTTAAATAAGAGTTGAATTGAAATTTGAGGAGAGAATTTGTAAAAAAAAAGGAAATATACGTACAAGGTTTTTAGGCAATATTATGAATAAATCACATTTCCGAAGTGAGAGGAAAGACTTTCGAATAAACGCTTTGCGACGAAGGAAGCACGAAAGCTCAGAAAAATTTGCATGCAATGAATATTTGAATGTTTGGTGAAATCGTAATTTGGATATAATAACAAGAAGGTAAAGCAAATTATTTTATTTTAGGCCGGAGATATGAATTGAATTTACCGCATCAAATTATTCTCGAGAGAATAAAATAAATTCCAAGCTATTGCGGAATTCGAATTCAAGCCAAACAAACTTCTCGTATTGAATATGAAATGAAAATTTCATCATTCGTAATGAGATTGTTGGGATGTTTATGAAACAATTTAAGAAACCCTTATGAAAAATCATGAAATTGATTGAAGAACTCCCATAAATGTAATTTTTTTTAGAATTAAATTTTGACCTGAAAATCGAGTGAAATAAGTTAATTTTGACGGGTTAGAATGTCAAGCAATCCCCTTGAGATTTCTAATGCAGTTTGAATTTAATTACCATAATAACAGTGATTTCAATCATATTTTAATTGGGGATTAATTTATGCAACAAATATTTAAGGAAATGGAATTATTAAAGCGAAACTTTTTTATCCGGAAGGAAACAATTTTTTAAGCTTCACAGTTCGACACCTTTTGATCTTTGCCCTCAAGAAAAGCTATTAAGGAAAAGTGTTCAGCTTGTTGATCCAATTGAGTAATCAGAAACATGAAACATTAACCACTTTTTAGGGTCGATACAATTTCAACCCAAAGCAAGGGATAATGAGCAGCATCTCCATTAATGACTTGTCTGACTCTTCGAATTTATTTTCATTTCCTAAGTGGCTTAAAGCCTAAAGCTCAAAATCAAATTATTTTTCATCACGTTTCAATCTAAACAACTCATTAAGGAAAAAAATTCCTTTCTCAAACTAAGTCTCCGTCTGGTGACATTAAATTTTCGTTTAATTCAAATTCCTTCCGGTAGCAGATTTGAGAATTAAATTCAAATTTATTTTATTTAATTATCAATGTTAAATGTTTGAGAAGGAAAGCCATCAGGGCGAGTAAATTAATGTTAATTCTTTGTAATTATGAAGTGATTATGAAGAATCTTCTAAGCTTAAAAGTAAGCGAAGCAAAAAATTTCATCATCATCATCATGTTCATGCTTTTGTCTACACAATAAAGTTCTATGAAGGTCAACTGTAATGTAATATTGTTTAGAAGTGATTTCCCTTTCCTCATTTCTGTTCCATTGAATTTTCAAGATTCTTATCAGTTGAAGCTACTCGAAAATGACATCTATTAGAGAGTGGATTAAGCGCGATGGAAGGATATGTTATGTGTATTCACTGAAATTGACAAACTGGGAAAGCAGCAGTCTCCACAACAAACTTTCCAGTTGAAAACAAGAAATTCTCGCCACGTTGCTGTTTGAACATTTATTCCATGTTTAATATTTTAGATTTCCCTCATTTTCATGTTTACAAAAATTTCTGTATAAAATAATCAAATTTCATGAATTTCCTTGCTGAGTTTTATTCTTTTTCAATTTCCGTGTAAGAAAATATTTTATGTATTATTTGTTAATGTTCATGGTCGCTTTCTTTATTACCTTTCCTGTTGTATTTTTAGTCCGTAGAATATTAAATAACAACGAAAAGGAATTCTCCAAAAATCTAAAGATTCATGCGCGGAGCTTTTACTTTAGTAAGGAAAGCTTTCGTTTAGGATGTATTGGTTGGTTGTGTGATGGAAAATGGTTACAGGGCTTCGGAACATACAATGATTTTTATGTTCATGATTACTTTGTTTATATCATAAAATACTTAGTTATCATTTTGTGAATGTACTTCATGAAAAATAAATTAAAAAAAGAATTCCCGACAGAATATCGGAAGTCTCGTATTGAGCAAAAAGCTTTCCTCTGATATTTCCTGTTTTTGTCACCGGAAAGACGTTTTATAAAATACTTTTAAATGCTTACACATTAAAATTTTCAACAAGAAAATTCTTCATGGATGTAACAATGCTGAAGCTAAACTGTGGTTGAAAAATAGAAGAGATTCGTCTTCCGCTGCTTGTTTTTCATTAGCCATGAACTAAATCATGATAATTTTCTTTTTCTCGTCACGAAATTACTCACCTAGAATGAAAGAAACAAGAAAATATTTATGAAAAATTATGTAAACAGGAAAGAAGACTTTTATATTTTATTTTTTTCAAGAACCATTTTAAAAATATGTTGCTTTATGTTAAAAGTTCAGTTCTTTTCATAAAACTTGTGGTCGTAAAAAAACTCAGATGGGTGTTGCTCTATGCCCGTCTCTTTTGATTTATCACAAAAAAATATGATAAATGAATGAAATAACAAAGAAATGAGAATTGGAAGATGTTATGTGGGTGGAAGACTTCTTGACTTTACACATTGTGAGAAATTTTGTTTAAGTCACTGTGAAATTTTTCATCAATTCAAAATAAAAAAAAAGCTTTTGTGGATAGATTCCAGGCAATTTCGAAGAAATTGGAAACGATAATGATGATGATACGGGCAATTTATCGAAGTAGTGCTGCTATAATTTACGGGTGTAGAATCAGCCAATAAATGTCGAAAGATGTGCTGAAATGAATTACAAATAAGATTGAAGAAATTCGAGCAAGGCAGAGTTTGTTACTGTTTCCGGAATCGATTTGTTTGTACATGATGTAAACGAAGTCTGATCTCACGATACAAAAACAATCTAAAATCAATTAGATGGAATTTTCAAGGAAAACTTCAAGGAAATTTAATTTATTGAAAAGAAATGAATGAATATTGAATCATACTTTAAAAAAATCATTTCAATTACAAGAAACAAACATGAAATGTTTCATGTCAATTCTTTGATTGATTCAATGGAAAGTTTTTGCTTACGCTTTAAACATGAGAAGATTATTTATTTACATATAAATTTGATGCATAAAGAGAAGAATTTAAAAGAAAAGAATTTACCGCTCATCGAATCGATTGCTACTCCTACTGATAATCGACGATGTGCTCCACACAGATAATGACCGAGGACGTTGAAAAAACTTTGATCCACGTCTAGCGCCATCAACAACCACTGGGACTTCACTCCCTTCAGTGGCTTCAGGCGGAAAGTTAACATTTCGACCAGCTTTCGAGCTTGAGGGCGATATTGAATTCTCATCTGACATTCCCAAAGCGCTATAGCTTACGTGGTATCTGTCCATTGTTCTCATTCATAGCTAATTGATTTTTGTGGGGCTCTCAAAGGGCCCTTGTCTTGTTTTGAGAATGACTTTTTCACTTTTTCTTTTTCTTACACATTTTTTTATACATTGACTGACACACATCGATCACGAATCAAAATGATATTGATTCACGGTTTTTCAGTCCTATTTATATCTAGAACTTTCATTATTTGTTTTATGTTTTATTTTGTTTTGCTTCTAGGATTTTCATTCACAATTTACATATTTTCATAAATTATAGACATCTAAGATAAACAATAATTAAAATTTAATTAATAATTTGAAACTCAATTCGTTGACGTAATTTGGAAAACTGAAAGTGTTTAATGAATTTCTTTTTTATCAAGTTCCAATTCAATTGAATCAATAATTGGATAAAGTTGAATTGAATTTGTATCAACTCATTAACTAAGAATTATTCATGTTACGTAAATGTCTTGAACATTCCCGACAAAAAGTTGAATGACTTGAAAAATTCTTGAATAATTAATTACAATCTTTGGAAATTTCAAACTTTGACTAACGACATCTGCTTAACTTTTGAGCTTGAAATTCCACAAATTTATCTCCTCTATCGTTGCATCAGACAAGCTTAAAAAGCTCACGTTTCGAAATCATTTATTATTTCAAGAAATGATTCATTTTTTCGTTTTCATTTCCTGAAGAAAGTGTTTGTGAGCGAGTGATTGATTAGTTAAGCTAAGATTTTCCTTATTTATCTTAGCACCCACATTTCTTACCCTCGAATGCTTTAAGTATCTAATCATCCCTTACTATTTATGGTCAATGACGTCATTAAGAGAAATATTTTTAGATAACTTTACTTCTCCAGTTAGGGTAAGAGAAAATCAATGACGATGAGTAGCTTCATGATTATTTTATATCTATATGAAAGCAACAGAAGTTTTTCAAAGTAATAATTGAAGGCAAAAACAAAAGTAAACTTTTGACATGAACAAGAAAATCTTGTAAGTTTTATTAAACAAACGTAATAATTACATTCTTGACTTTTGTGAATATTGTATGTATCAACATGAACATGAATTTGATATTAAAAGAGTTCTTCAGGGATGCTCAACATTGTTTATTTATTTATTTAATGTTGAGAGATATTATGTGAAGATATGAAATCAAGAAAATGAAATCTGAAGGTGTTCCTATTTATTCAAGACTGTGTTAACTTTCTCACTGAACCCTTCGAAGAAATTGAAAAGCATTAACGTGTTAGGCATAACTTGAAACTTAATGGATACGTTTCTGTATGAATAACCTCTTTACCAGGGGGAATTCTTTTGAAAACTGTTAAGCTTCAACGAATCAAAAGAGATAAGAAAGTAGTTTCGATAGAAAAGTTAATAAAAGTAAAATTAAGAAAGTGAAAAACTTTTCCTTTCTCACATTAATATCGAGTTGTGTAACGAAAAACTGGGTAATATAAAATGCATACAATAAAACTTTGCTCGTTTTCCTTTTTGAGCTCGATCAAGGAAATCAGCCAACTTAATTCATTGATTATGTTGCTCACGCATTTACTGAATCCCAGTTTGTAATTCTTATTCAAACGAAGTTTCGTTGAGTGTTATTAAGTTATAAAGCTGCGTTTGACTTTCAATTCAATGGTGCATGTGACTTTCTTTTTTATATACTTTGGATGCTCTGAGACTATTAATTCGCTTAATTTTCCCTGTGCGTGTTGTTTTACGAAAGTGTCCAACTGCTTTTAAGTCTGACGCAAAACCAAGTCTTTATTAATAAAATATTCGATTTACACTGCTCTTGGGAATCATTCAAGGAAATTAAACATGAAAAAATGGCAAATTGAATGTTAAAAACTCAAAATGCTCCTAGAATAAGAATTATTTATGAATCCATATGAAGAAGCAATTCGAAATCCAATCGAAAGGAATGTTTACATAAGGAAAAGAAAAAAAAACTTTTTATTTGTGTCAATAACGTAGAAAAATGTTTGGTTTTATAGCGAAGCTGCATGATTTACGATCATTGAATTGCTTTTTCATAAACTTCTTTGACATTTTCTTTTTTTTCTATCTTCATGACAACGACAAATATTATTTTCGGCGGCAGATGCCACAGCCTAAGTTTGCAACCTCTCGAAAGACGAATTATGAGGCAGATAAATTAATTCTGCAAATTCCATTGGTACGCACCTAATTTTTTTATGTCATGTCGTGAACGACCACGCTCGACAACATTCGTTAATTTTTTTATTTCTATTTGAAGTAAAAAGGTCGGTTTTTGTTCTATTTTCCACTTGCGCTTCAAGGGATCGACATAAATCCTCTAAAAATATTTAATTCACGTGAATTTAGAAATTATTTGAATGAAAAATTTTCCTGGAAGGTCTGAAGGTTATTTTGTTTCATTTTCTGTCTTTCAAAGATGGTTTAAGAGATGCTTAAGACCTTGAATTATGTTTCTATGTTAAAAAAGAAGAACCTTTTATAATAAAAAACTCAGTGAAGCGTGCTGATCTCGTTTAATAAATTTCATTCAATAAAAGCACAAAAGAGAGCAGAAAATTTCTAATGCAAGTCTTTCAAATTGAAATTTACAATGTCACATCATGGATAATTTAATTCACGTGCATGCTACATGATAAGTAGTTTAGATGAAATGATTATCATCCTCTTCATTAAGAGAGACAAAGATTGACAGAAACATTTCGGTATTTATTTACTGAATTATAATAACATCAGAATTTATGTTGGCATGACTGGAATCCTGAATTCTGTTTATTTACATTCCATTCATTGTAAGTCGAGATGTTATTAAAGATAAATATCAGTGATTATAAAAGCCGAAATATTGATTATTCAATTCGTTAGAAATATTAATTTTGAAATAAGACAACAAAGTTATTCGAATGTATTTATTGCTTTAAGCTTTCATACTTAAATCTAATCTAGTTTTAGCGTGTTTCTCTTCATTCTCACAGTTATTTTAATGAAAAGAGATCTTATATCATGTTATTACTTTAATGAATGTAAATTACAAAAGTAATCCCACATCCATAAAAGACAGCAATAGGGTACGTATTTATTCGTGTTTTTCAGGGTAACGAATATTCGCCGAATATTTTTTTAAATCTTCTAATATTCGCCGAATAGCGAATAATTATTCGTTACTGATTTTTTCTTTAAAAATTCAAAAACATTAAATATTTATAATTTTATTTTAATTTTTGACATCTTCTTCTTTTATAATTTGACTCTCATTTACTTTTATTGCCTCAGAAGTTGCTATAACGCGGATGCTGATTCCATGTTTACTTGCACATTTTGCAAGAATTTCTTGTGAAGCATTTTAAGAATCATGCGAAACTTGCTCATGACAAGGTTTGATGAATTTGCTTGGAGTTGGGAAATATTAGCTGCGTTCGAATCAGTATCGTTTTGTTACATCATCGGGATCTACAGGCTGTGTAAAAGCAAATGATTCGACATCGACGATTTTGCAAATTTTGATCTTAATGTCTTTATCACAAATTTTACATGTAGAAATGTCGAACCACGACTTCTTTTTTTCATTGAAATTTTCATTTTCGTAACGTTTAAATAAAGTTTTCGATTGCTTTTTATCTACTTGTAATTTGCTTAAATTATAAAAATAAAAGTTGATAAATTTAAAGCAGAAAAAAATTATCATATTTTAGGATAATTTTGAAAGTTAATTTGTCCATTTTCGAAATTTTCGCTAAATCTAGGAACAAAAATTGAATCAAAAAAATAACGTACCGAATATTCGGTATGCCAAATACTTGCTTAAAAGTACGAATACACGAATATTCGTATTCGCCGAATACGTACCCTAGACAGCAACAATTTCCGACCAACCTGGCTCATGATTATGAAAATCTAACGTTTCATTAAATAAAAACGTTTCCGTTGAGAGAAGTAAGAGAAAAAGGCAGTAAGAATCTGTATACACCTTCTCATAACTGAAATGTTACAACAATAATCTGAAAAGCCAAGCCTTGCTTGCTAAAAGGCACAGAAGAAAATTGTTTTCCTCTTTTTCAACAAAATAACGAATGACAAACATGGTGAAGCTTTTGTTACCAAGAGCAGTGTACAGTAAGGTAAGTGATGACGAGGCACTTTTCCATGAGTCATTTGTTTGCCTTAGCTCTGTGTGAGCCCAATCAAAAGTTTGGGCATGAAGCCGTGCTTGAGTTTTATTGCTACAAATAGTAGGACATAATTGGAAACGAGTATCATCGTTAGAAAACCAACAAACGTTCAACAACATTTATTCTTATTGATTTTCACAGTTTTGAAGCTCGTTAGTCATTCACACTCAGTTTGATAATATCTTAGAGGAAGAAACAAACTTAAGGTAATCATTTCTCAAGCAGACATCTTTGGGTCGAATCTTTTTGCATAAAACCTTTAACATTAAACCTTCATTTGTCATTAAGTAAAACGCTAATATTATCCTAACATTAAGAAAGGAAGGAAAAAAGCATTTTTTATGAAATTCATGAATATTTAACAAATTGCAAATAGCATTCTCATATCTAAATGTCGTTAACATTAGAAACACTTGTCACTTCCCTTCGCAGTATTTCCATATTATGACAGACTGTTAAATGATATGAATATTGAATTCATATGAACATTGCATTTCAATCATGTATTCACTTTAACGAGATGAAATGAAAGAAACTTATTTAAAGTTTGCAAAAAATTTTCCACTGCAGTGAAACTGAATAATCACAAAGTTCAATCGAAAATTGAATTCAGATTCATGCTAATGCATCCATTAAAGAAGTAAATTTCATTACTAAAGTTATAACATTTCAACAGACGTTGAATCTTTTTTTCCTAGACACTCGATTCACAACTGTCATTGCAAACAGATTCACTTTCGTTATTCCTAATAGAATTTGGATTTATCAACTTTTTGTAACATGAACCTTTTTTTGTTGGAAATATATTTCATACCATAGATATTTAAAGGTATTTGTTTAAATAGCTTCGAGTTTCACAACATTTTTACTTGTACATGGGTATAAAATTCCATAAGCATCTCAGCGTTTTGTTGACTTTTGCAAACAAAGACGCCTGCTTTCTTGTGATTCCGCTTTCTCTTTGTGGGTGTTTAAAAGAGTGAATACGACACTTATCACATAATCACATTAAATTATCCACAAGCATTTGTTACGTTTTTTTCCTCAATCCTCACCAACATATGGCATCACTCAGTGTTTTGATAAGAATGCGAAGAACGAGGGTTGGAAGGAATTTGACTTTATCACTTCGTTTCGATGACTTTTCGTTTCATTAAATGTAATCAAATATTGTTGATCTGCTTGGGTGGATGATGAAAGCAAAAGATTTGATAAATTCAAAAGCACAAAATCGCAATTTGTCTCTTATTTGCTTTCTTTTCTTATATTTTTCTGAATCTCTCCGCTTTTTTGAAATTCCTTCTTTTTCTCATTTTGACTTTTTGAGCTTGGCTAATGCTTTTGATTTAAAAGAATTTCCATTAAGTAAGATAAAATTTTTCTATTTTAAAATGCTTTTCATCTTCGCGGTACATTTAAGAATTAAGAAAAGTTGATAGCGTGATGTTCATCGAAATTACGTAACATGAGTAAAGTAAAATTAAAGTAAAAAGGAGCTGTGACTCAACACTGTATTATGAAGAGAAATATCCTGAAATTGCCTTATCGTTTTCATCACATTCGATTAAAATCGATTTTAGAACTACACAAATATTCACAAATTCAAACTATTAAATTAGTCTACACAAAGCAAAAGGAAAATTTCATAGTTTTCCTCTATTTCCATCTGCATTTTCCTTGTACATACAGTTTTCTTATTTATTGTTTTTAAAGTATTTGGTTTTTTTCGCGATAAGAACAAAATTCTAGGTCATATCACTGCAAAATGTGTAACTCGAATTCTAAGGTGCTTAAATTTTCTTCCACGCTTGAACCCAACAATACTTTGTAAGTGTTGGTATTTGTGAATGTTTTCATCATTTCCCAGCGCTTTCGAAGAAATTTTTTTTCGGAGACTTTTGTATGAGCTTTCATTGTCACATGGGCAAAGCTTTTCTCATCTTTGCCTAAATATTTATCAAAGTAAACTTTCATTCTTCTTTGATGATGCAACAATAAGGAAATAATTTTTATTAATGGCTGTTCAATCAATCAATGAGATGTTTCTGTTTCAAACATGTAATCATTCTTTATTCATAGTATGACAACAAGTTGTTTAAATTACTCTTTGTTCGCCAAACTTCTTTCTTTATTAGATATTATCAAATCAATATGCATTTATAAGTGAACTTCATTCAACAATGTGTGCATTTCAAATGAGGTTCATGTTATGAAATCATATTTGCACTTAAGCAACTCAAAGCCACATGCAAACAGAAGTCATTATAAATAAAGCTAACGTTGCCATTAGAATTTCAACATATCTACTAATATGCGATTATTTACTGCTATAAACGTCAACGTCAATTACGATTGTTAATTGTTGGCTTTTCACAACTGTTCCAGGTCAGAATTGATTTGATTTCTACATTAGTTGGAGCTTTTTTTATTCCCTTTTTTAATGTGTTTAACCATCCGTCAAAAATATATTCGATGAGAATTTTCATGACAAATTGAGCGTGGAAGGCGCTTAAAATAATAGAAATTTTATCGATTTTGAAAGTTAAAACATTTTTCTGAATGTTTGAAAATCAGATCAAAACCTAAAAGCTGTTCGTCAATGTTTGTTTGAAAGCATCAAAATGACTCTCAGCTAGAGAGAAGAGGTTTGTCAGTTTCGGTTTCATATGTTGTTGATTTGAAGTTTATCGATAAGGCTAGAAAATTGCCTAGAAAATTATTGTGGTAATTGCGGGGGTGAACTACCATACTGTGATTTCCATCACAATCATAAAAATTGCTTGAAAGAAGTTACTTCATTAATTATGAGCGCTGATTTTTCATTCTGCTCTATTTATTTCTCTTTCTAGTTCATTGATCTGAAACATTTTCCTTCTTCAATCATTCTTACAATATATTCATAACAAAAAAAAGTGCAAAATTGTAGATAAAAAACATTTTGATTTATTTCTCTTTGTCCGTAAGCACGTTTGGATGGTTTTTGTTGGAAACTAAAGAAAACGAAAACTGGGAAGCATGCTAACCAAAGACACTTCGATTTTAGCACAGAGACATCTAAGAAGGATTTTCGGAGATGAGATTACTATTTAAGAGAAGATTTCCGGGAAATAAAATCGTTCAGATCAACAGTTGACATCTTCGTAAGATAATTAAAAAAGTTTGTTGATAACTTTTTCACTTCATGTTCAAGCGAACCTTTTTCTCCCATATTTATCCCATTGATGCCAATTTCATGGGTCAGTATCGAGAAAATCAGTATGAGACATAAAACGGATTAACAAGTCAATCGAAAGCCTATTGAAAGGAGATTACAGGCTGACAAATTCAGACGATTTATATAGACAAGGATCACATTAACATTGAATCATTCGTATCGAATTCATGTCAGCTTCGCACCTTTTCATTTTTCGCTTGAAATTCATGAAATTGTAATCAATTGAGTTTTATAAATAAGTGACTTAAACTGAATCACCCGTCGGCGTTTCTTCCAAATATTTTTTCAGCACATATGAAAAGCGTGGGTCATGTGTTTCTCTCACAAATTCCATTAACATTTTCATGCCATGAAAAATTGACTTCAAATGATATTCACAAGTTTATGTTATGTTTATTTAAAAAAGAAATGAAATAAATCCACACATGTTTCTGAATTTTAATTTTAAAAGAAAAAGGAAAGATATTGTTTACTGTTGGATGTTTTTGCATGCAATGTAACATAAAAATAAATTGAAAATACATATTTTAGTATAACATTTCAATGATATCATTTAAAATTCAATTAAAGATATTAGATAAATTGATTACCTGAAGACTGAAAAGTAAGAAAGACTCGCAACTTTTCTATAAAAATTTAAACAGCTGTCACTTTAAATGATGAGAAGGAAAGCAATTCCAATTTAGGGCAGGTTTAATTTATGATTAATGAAGCGTACCTGTTTCTATTAAATTTTCCTAAATGAAGCCTTGAATTTTTTTTTCAAATTTAGGCTACAATTAAAATGTTTAGACTTTCGTGTAGAATGATTTTAAGTGAAATTGTGGAGGTCGAACGATACAGAAAAAGGAGAGTTTTTCATCAACAAAAACTTTTACTAAGTCTAACATATTGTAAGAAAGATAATAAGATTACCGATGTAAGAAGATAAGTAAAGTTTCTGGTTTGACGTAAACATCAAAGAACTTTCCAAAGTATAGCAAGAGAGTTTTAAAAAGTCGTAGAAGAAATTCAATTCAATCCCTTTTCCGATCGATTCGTTCAATTTGTAAAACGATAGCAACATTTTGTTTTGGGACTTGGGCTATCATATTCAATGGTTGAGAATACTTATACAAAAGCATTGCTAAACAAAAGGAAATTTTAATCTCAATAATTATCGGCAATAGTTAAACCCCAGAATTTTCAATTCAATTTTAAAGTACTTTTACTTACTTTTAGAAATTCTTTAATTTAGTTAAGTTCTCAGATTTTTATTTCTATGAAAAGGGTCAAAAAAGTCTACTTTTATTTACTTTACTTTCTCTATGAAATATATTTCAACTGCAGACATCAATTCAAAGTTCCGATCGTTTCCCATCCCGTCAATAAAGTTAATGAACTCTGAGGATAAAAATCTTTCCTCGTCGTAAGTGTTTTTGCAAGTGAATCAAAGCAAATGGGAAAAGTTAGTTGAGAAAACATATTTCAATGTTTTTACTGAGCTAAAACATGCTCATATCATTAATACGAAACGTCTTTTTCAATTTGATGTAAGCTTAAACGCAACTCATCACGTTGAAAAGTTGGAGAAAAAAAATGTACATCAAGCCATTAACACCCTCAACTGCTATTTTCGTAAAAATAAATTTCCCTTCATCTTTAATTATTTAAAGCTTTGATTAGGGGCTTCACTCCATCCCGAAATAAGCAAAGTAAAAGCTTTCATTAACGGTTACAATTTTTCAATAAAAAAAGAAGCATTCCCACGTAAAAAGCCAAAAACATTTTTTTTCATTCGCTACATTCATCTCACTTTATCTTCCATCAAAAATGAACCCTTAGAAAGTCTGCCTGACAATGAATACAAAGAAAAGTCTCTCAAACGATGCGCGAAATGAAATAAGAACATCGTAAAAGTAATGTTAAAAATGACATCTGACATCAGTCGCATTTTTTATGAGTAGCTCTTATGGTATGAAACGTAATAAAGATAACAAATAGGCAGCAGTAGCTTATAGAGTCGTTTCTACTTCTTCCCTCAAATGCATTTTATTGAGGGAACGGTACATTTATGAACTTTATAACTATCAGCCCTCAAGATAATAACAAAAAGTCCTTCAGATTTCTATCTACGATATTCTTGAAAAATATCTGAATGAAAAGTTATCATTTACCCTTTACAAATCCCCTGGATGGCTGCTAATAAAACCAGAACTCGTCAAGAGTCTCGAGGCCATATGTTGAAAACACTTTAGACTTTAAGAATATCTAACATTGAAAAAGCTTTTAAGCTGAGAACATTTATTCGCATTATACGTAAATATCGAAGGGAAATATTTATAACTTTCATCGCCCAGCAGTAGTAAACAGCGTGAATGAAATATTTAATGAATATGAAGTTTCTATTACAACAACGAAACGAAATAAACTCAGCACATTAATTTCATCGTCATCGGTCCCTTTAGACTGCAAATTGTCAACACTTTGACACGTTCCTTTCAACGATTGTCTTAATGCAATCGTTACAAATTTGCTTCTTCTTATTTGCCCTCAAGCCTTATTTTTGTGTTGGCATCAGCGCTTCATAAAAGATTCCATCTTTTGAGATTCCTTTCCTTCACGAAGATAATAAGAATGGAAGGCTTTGATGTGTTGTTGAGTTTCATTTCAACTCTTTTGTCACGTTAACCAATAAGATTTCTTTCCTAAGCTATAAATATCTATTTTGAATTGAAAATTGGGTTGTAAATTTCTTTATCTAATACATGTTCAGATTAAATATTCATTTAAATAAATATTTCCTTCCAATATGTATAAATCAAGACTTTTTTCTCTTCTGTCAGAACTTTTGAATTGGAATTTCCTGACATTTTGATTAAACTGGTCAATATTCAAAATATTTTGATGTTTTACACATTCGCTTTGATGCTTACACAATTCAATATCTTAAATCAAACAATATTTATGACAACCATTTTCTAGGTAAAAGTACTGACGTTAATTGGATAAAAAAAAAATTATGATTGTATTTGAGGTTAGATATCCCTTTGTAGTATTTAACGGTTTTTTTATTTAAAAAAGAAGCAGCGAATAACCGATTGAGTTTGACTTTGTTGATCTCTTATCCTAATTTTCGATCTTTATTCCTCCTGTTTCTGTCTCTCGTTTCGAATGCACCACTTGATAATAATTGAAAACAATAAAAGTGGGAGAAAAATTCTAAGTCTTTATAAAGTTGTACTTCGTAAATAGTTTCTCTTTTTATTAGTAGTCACTAAAAATTATTTAGTACTGCTATAAATTTGTATTTTTTTGTCCTAATATGAGTTTCAAGGTAAGCTTTTTGTAATTCTATTGTTTACAGAGAGATTAACTCAAATCTTTCTGATTTTTTTTAAATTTTCAAGCCTATCAATGAATCAAAAGAAGATTTTCGAGTTTATCTTGCCAAGCAAGGAGTTCTTGATGCCTTGAGTAAGGTTCTTTCTAACATACACGAAGTTCAACCGGAAAATCCCCTGGAGGTATATAATTATTTAATATTCAATAACGTTGTCATTACAGTTCATTTTTTTAATTTTTCTTAAAAGTTTATTCATTCGAATGTAGCAATTTCCTTGTCGCAAAAGGATACAATTCGTGATCTCGAGTCCAAATTGAATGATGCAAAACAAGAAATTGTTCGACTACAGAAGGAAAATGATCGCTTGAAGCAACAACAGAATCGCGGTGCTTTTAGTTACGTCAAAAATAAATAAAACTTTATTTAAATGTCTCTTTTTATATATAAGATTAGAATTTTGATCAAAAAATTTATATTTTGAAAGTTCAATAAAAACAAAAAAATGATTTGTTTTTAATATCATTTTGAATTGTAAGTTGAGTTGTGAATTTCTTTATCTAATACCTACATGCTCATTTAAATAAATCTTGCAAGTTTTTCTTTTTTCTCTTTTATCACAACTGAAGCGAAATCTTGAGATATTTTGATTGAATGGTACGACAATAAAGAAAACGATTTTTTTTCTAAACATCTTTGTACTTAGTTATTGCAAGCATGACTTCTTCTTTGAAATTCTTTACAAAATTATTTAAGGTAGACTCAAATAGAACATTCCAAAATGTTCCTTTTTCGTTTCTTTTTTTTCTATTAAAATATTCATCAAGATGGATGAAGAAGTAAATGTAGTAAAAACTTCAATTTATATAATCACGGTGATGTTGATGAAACCAAAAACTTTCAGCTTCTTTTTTTGCTGATTCAACGAATAACGATAATTTAATTTCTTTGATGTCTCTATAAGAGGATTAAATCAACAGAGTTTACATTATTCACAGCCACTATATAGTTAACTCTATTTTCATATTTCCGTGCGTCATTGCAGAGTTAAAGCTTTTCCTTAGTTAAAACATTTCATTATTAGTCAGCAGGACCTTCCGGGTAAATATTCAATTAACTTACATAAAGAAAGTCGGATTTTGCTTCAGGTCGTGTGCTGAACATGTCAAGTTTATTAAATTTTAAATTGCAACTTACGTAGATGATGATTGCTATCTTGAAGATGTTTTGTTGTGGAACGATCACATTGTCATCATAAATCAATTAGCATTATCAACATTTCTCCATGAGAATAAAAAAAATTGAAAATTAAATAATGAATATTTTCAAGGAAGAAAGTTTAAAAATTTGACTTGACTTATTGTGTTCACTTCGTAAGTAAGTAAATACAATCGCCTTGAGGAAGACTGCACTTCATGTACTTCAACGATCAACATGAAATTAGAAAAAACTTTCTCCCTTAAAAATATTCAAATTTTCCAAGCATTTTCATAGCTATTCAAGACGATTTGCAAAGAATAATAAAGCACAAATGTTATGCAAATTCAGGACATCACTCGACTTCATCGGCTTTAAAATTCAAATAAACCACAAATTATTCTTTTCAATGCTTTGCACGACCTCTGAATCAATATTCCTTAATTATGTAAATATTATTAGCAAGCAAGCCGCAATGAAATTGTTCAAATTCATCGAAGGAAATGTTATTGAATAATCTTCAGTCAAGTGAATTTTTTCATTTTTCATTTTAATTATTCAACGCACAGTACATTACAGATATCCCTTCAAATCTTCAATTCAATTAATATTATTTTAATTGATTCATAAAAGATTTCTTCTCGCTTTTTAATCAATAATTAATTAATCACTAAGATGCCATTAAAAGCAGAAATAGAAGTTCGATGGACAATAAAAATAGAACGATGAGATTACAATGGTTTAGTTTATGGGCTTACATTTACTCAACTATGCAGAATGAATTGAGTTTAAATGCTAATGGAAAATTTATCTGACCGAACCTCAATACACATTTATACTCATGTTTGCGCATCGTTCACTCTTCTTCAGTGTGACAAACAAACTTTATTTTCCTTTACGATTAATCTATGTATTTATGATGGCTGTGAATTTTATGGTCCATAAATTTTCATGCGGTTTCAACTCAATATTAAGATTGATGCTTCACGAGAAACCTTTCTTTGATGGCTTTTAAAAAATTGTAGCAACTCATATGATTGAAATGAATGTGTATGGAGAGAACGTAAAAGTTTCAGAATTCTTTTTCAATTTTTAATCGAAATACCTTCAGGATATTTTCATTTAAGCATACATGATCTACGTAAAGATAAACTTTCTCGATTCATCTACGTTAATTAAGTTTTGACTCATAAAAGCTTCAACAAACATGAGAAGAATTTTTCTATCGTTCAAATGGATGTTGTGGGTAAAACTTTAAAAACATTCATCTTGCTACGTGTTTGATGCTTGCTTGATGACATTTGACATTTCTACGCCTCAAAATAATCACAAGAAGCTTACGAGACATTTCAATTCAAGATACCATCACGGAAATAAACATTGTCATCAATCTCACAGAATTTATTTCCCAAAGGAAGTAACAGCGACTCTTCATGTGCTGATAAATATCATGAAAGTTTTCATTGAGTAATATTAATTCAATTGAATCATCAGAAATATCTTTGAATCAAATATAAAGCCTCCATCCACTGTATAATATAAAAAGCGTTTTCATTTAATTTTTTAAGTTTCCAATTTTCTGCTTCTTTTTTAATACGCTGAATTAACAAAAGTTTCGAATTACAAAAAAGCTGCTTTCAGAATTTGAGGGCGTGCGAAGCAAACAATTACGCATGTTGATAATGAATGAGAAAAGTTATTTTATGTTGTCATGGAGTATTTAATATAAACGTCATAATGTTAATTTATGACATTTATTGTCTACAATATGACATCTTGGAATCTAAAAACAACTTCAAGTTTCAATGAACACCTTTTTGTCTGTTTTTCTATTTCATGGCACCTTATCATATCTACGTCAAGAAGTTACTTCCTTTCGAAATTCCGTTAACATAACTTACATGTTTATTTACTGTTCTCTTGAGAATACGTGAGAAGGCAAAGGATGAACTGAAAGTAAAAAACGGAAGTACCTTCCTTTTTACAAGCATCACTATACATTGTAAAGAGAAGAACAAATCTTCTGGCATCGTTGATGCTTATTAGCTTATTATAATTGCCAAAGCTCTCATAAATGGAACGGTAATCCTTTCCTTCCGCTTAAATGCTTGTTCAACGACTGAAAGAATTTTATTATCCTTCAAAAGAATAAAAAACTCGTCGGAGATTCAACAACTTCGCAGTTGATTTCAGCAGAAAAAGGAAGAAGAAAAATGAAAGAAATGAAGGAAAGTTATGAACGGATAACAATAACAGACGGAAGATTCGCAGGAAATCATTATTCCCACTCAATTTTATTCCGTAATTGCTTAGTTTGACCAACAAAGCTTTCTACAAGATCCCATGGGAAATGTCATTATTTCAGAATGGCAACTTACGAATATTTCAAAAAGATTTTGATTTCTTCCATCCTCCCCAGAATATTTAAATTACAAATCTAACTTGAGGTAAAATATTTTCCTTAAAATGTCTCTTCATGCCTCGCATCGAATTGTTAGAAAACAACAATGAAAGTAAAAATGTATCCATCACCGTATCTATGTCAAACAACGTCACTAAATGAAAAGCAACGCTTAAGTATCGATTTTCCTTCAGTACCGCTATTGTCTCTCTGCTAACACATTTGAAGCTTCCAAACTTTCAAGAATTTTAAATGATTTTCCTTCTGTAATTTTCATAAATTAATACAAACAGCAGGCAACACAACATATTGTGATAATGCATTGTAATTGTTGGAATAATTCGAGCAGAAAAAAACAACAAGAAAATTGAGTTTGAAAAATTCATGACTAATAATTTGTTTTATGAAGTGTACACACACGTTCTTGAGTTTGTCATAGAATATTCGAGTTGGAACTTCACTTGTAACTTAAATAGTGAATGAGACATTTATTAGGATACAAAAAGATTCATCAGCAGCTATTAACACAGTTTGAAACTGAGCCATCAGAATGTATGAGTTTGAAAATTATAAAAGATTGAAGCAAAAAGCTTCATTTACTTATAATGCGTTGTTTACTGTAGTTTCTCCTTGTGGGCGAATTGTTTTTATTTAGATGTTCTACATAACATTCCTTAGCTGCTTTTCGCAAACAAAAAGGGAAAAAAGAATCAACAAAAAAAAGAATATAAAATGTCACAGAGGGGAAATTATTTTGTTCCTTCTGGATGTCTTTTAAGTAGATTTTGGTATCGCAATGTGTATCGCAATGTGTATCGCAATGTTTAGGAATCTTCCACCCACACAATATGAAGATCTCTTGTTGATACATCGGTATCAATAAAATTATTGAGGTTTTATTTGAATTCCATAAAAATCCACGACAATTCAACAAATATTGAATAGCAGTTGGATTTTCCTCCAAGGAGATAAATTCCTATCTAAATCGCTTCAAACGATAATAAAGTTTAACGACAATGTCTACATACGTATGAATTAATGCACGTGCTCAAATTCATAAAACATTAATCATCAAGAACCACTAAAAATGTCATCGTGAAGGAAAATCATTTACGGTGAAAACAATAAAAAAAAATCATATTTTTCTTTTATAGTTGATATTAATTTCATGCGTGACAAAATATTTACTGATACAGCATCGCAAAACCTTTGACTGATTGTGTTCATCAAGCTGAAATCTTTTCAGGATTCATCAAGTTTCTAATTTTCATAATCATTTCTCTTAACCCGATAAATTTTCATTATTTTCCGTTCTGTTGCGCAATTAATTTATAATGAGGTCTCAGTTAGAAACTTTTCGTCAATAAAATATTAAACTCTCATTCCATTTTCAATTTGATAGAAGAAGATTTGAGGAAGATTTGGGAGGGTTTGAAAAGGTATCACGACGAGAGGTTTATCGATTACATGTTATCATACCACATTATCGACCGACAAAGGTTTAAACACCAGCTGGTAGCATTGAAAATTGATAGTTAAACTTGAGATGATTACATTTCATGTCTAAATAAACGAAAGGTGTATGAGGTCAGCTAAAAATTCAAGATGACATGAGAAGATTAAGTGTTTGACCATTTAGCCTTTTCAATGAATTGAATTTACAAATGATTGACAAAAATTTCACAATTTAATTTAATTCTTGTTTCTTGGATAAAGAAACCATTAAAGACGCAACAGATGGTTTATTTTCGATTAGAGACTGTAGAGCAAGCAACATACGACTATATCGAGCAACAATCAGTTTTTTACAGCTCATCAGTTTGGCGCTAGGCCAATATTTGTATTTTTTCAAAAAGTATCGTGAGGGAATAAAATACCCACATTGCATATAAAACACACATGTTGTAATAAGTAACATGAAATGAGAATATTGTAAGTAATAAAGTTGATTGCACCTACCTTTGTCCATCATCGGTGAAGGCAAAATCGCCCAACAGTAAATCGCGTAGCCGATATCTTGGCGGAAGCGACATTTTACTGTTATCCAAATCATCAGACGACTGCAGAAAGACATCATCTACCTGTGCTCCACCATCGTTCGTCAGAGTGGTGTTGGCTGCAATGTATCCATCATTTCGCCTTGAAGGGCGGGCGTTTACAACTCGCGACAACACTTTTGCGAAATTTCCGAAAACACTCACAAACTTTCGTACAAGCTTTGCACAAATCAAGTTACTCCAAATCAAATCAGATTTTAACTTCTTCACTCTAGGTTGAGAAAATTTTGTTATTTTTTTTTTGGAAAGAATTCCTTAGGGAACAAGCAGCACAAAAAAAAACTAAAAGTTCTTCAGCTGCCGTAAAAGAAAATCTTTGAGACCTAATTGGAAAACTTTCTTTTCTTATTTTTAATTTTGAGTGAGTTATGGTGCTTATGTGATGGTAAACTTAATCTCACTTCAAGAACATCCCTCCATGCAGATGATTATGTTCGATTCCTTAAATTACTTTCCACACTTTTATGTTAATTCCCTTTTATGTTTTTCGTGGTTTTATTCGATTTGACTATTATATTTTATTAACGTATCAATCGAATAATCACACGATCTATTTTATTGTAAATTGCTATTATTAGAATAACAGGAAAATTACATGTACACCTTGTGTAACATGAAAATCGAAATTACTTTTGAATTGCCAGACTTTCTATCGACTTGACTTGTCGTTAGATTTTATTCACTTTTACTAAAGCTTTTAGCTTTCACTGAATTTCTATTCCCTTTTCGATTTTTGTCCCTGTCATGCGACCTTTACCTCGCAAACATTAAATAAACGTTTAGTGCTTTTTCTTGTTTCATTTGACCTGTCTAGTGTAACTTTATTCGATATAGTAATGATATTGTCTAGATAGATTATATTTCACCAAACTATTTTTATGAATCTACAGCGAGAAAGTTCATAAACTTTGAACGTTATGCATCGAGAAACAAATGTTAAATGTTAAAAAGTTTTCATGATTTTGTTCAATAAATTATCAGTGCGTAGGGGAAATGATAAAATTTGTTCGATGTTTGTTGAATATAATTTAACGTACGCACGCAACTTATATTTAACGACGGCTGGGTGAACAACGGCACTACTGAACTGACAGCAAATGTCCTTCGCATCCTGTTTTGCGTCAGTTTACATTAGTATAAAAACTAATGCACAATTATATTTTACTCACTCTTTAAAATAAAATCAACTAAATAAAATCTCATCTTATTAAAACTAAGCTCGTAAGTATTTTATTATTGCGCACTCAACAGGTTATGGGCCCTTAGCGGCAAAGTTAGTTAAAACTACTAAAGAATAAAAGAAATTTTTTTTGAAACGAAATTTCTGTGTG